ATCCTGTAGGAAGAAAGACAATAACATCTGTTCCCTTGATAAAATTCACCAAACATTCTCTTTGTTCCGGCTTTAAATCTTCGATCTGGGGAATCGTTAACAACACAGAATGTCAGTCTTCGTCTACATCCATCTCGACGCTTTGTTTACTGTTGTGCTGTTCCACAAAAGGGACACACACAGACGCGACGAGTTTGATGTCAAGGCTCACAGCTCTTCTCTGATTGGCCAGTGTGTAGTTTACAACTTCCGGGGTTCTTGCAAACTGTCTAGTGTATTCTGATTCCTGACCTAGTCGCTGGAGAGAAATTAAATTGAGCAGAGGCACTAGGTGGCATCAGCCTGACTAGTAAGTTTACTCAAGCCTCGGGGTTTCAAAATGGCCGCCCATTCAAGTCAATGGGCCGAGCTCAATGGCGCATGATCCCAGATTAGCCTTTAGCCTGGCGAGGTACTTCCGGTGGCTGTGGGCCGACCGAGCATGCGCAGTAGTGCTCTTTTCTCCCCCGGGCTCACGCGAATGCACGCGACCGCACGCACGGAGCGCGGTCTCGTGTATCATGTGATCGTTTTGACCAATCAGAGCGATAGGAGCTAGAGTGGAGCAGAGCAGAGCCGGAGCTAACGATTATAAAGCGTTTTTAAAGACAACTGAAGGATTTTGAGCTGAAAAAAGTTTATGATCTAAAAATAGGTAAAAATCACCACAAAATCCAAATTTTTTTTAAAAGTTGAAGGTGCCCTGTCAGCCAAACACGAGCAGTTTGTGATTACATTGTGCACTATGAGAAGAATCTTGTCTCGGCCCATGTTTTTTTTCCGCTGTAGTACCACTGAGTGACCACTACGTCAACTGGAGGCAGCTACAAGCAGCAACACTGTATCCACTTATTTTAATAGATCCATGCTTGTACTTCCTGATAGAAAGCTCGGCAGCGGCGGACTGATATCACCTAGCACCTGTCTTACCGGCAAATTAACATTCCACTGCTGCTGAGAAAATAGTCCCTCAACATGCGACAATTCATGTGATACAAGATTGGTTTTATTTCAAACATTATTCTATCCACACAGACATTCACATGGACAGTCTGGTGTAATAATAGATTTGTTTGGGGTGTTTTGTGGAGTGGGTAAGACTGTTTTTAGTGGCAGGAGTATTGTAACTATGACCATTGACATGCACTAGTCTAGCACCAGCGACCTCTGCAAATACAAGGACTGGATGGAATATTTCAAAAAGTGTCTCCACGCGTTTCCAGCACTCTGGATCAACTAGGAAATGAGGTCCTATGTCGTATGAATGTTTCACAGTATGGCATTAAACCTTTCTATTAGGGATGTAACAATATCCATATTTCACGCTATGATATTATCACTATATGCCTCTCACGGTACGATATTTATTGCAAAATTTTGGAGGGGTTAACAGAATTGTACATATGGTATTTTTTCCTTTTAAAATACCTTGACCAGTCTTCTATGTGAATCATTACTGACATATTCCAACGATATAAGATTTAAAAGTTATTTTATGATGTAGTAAAGTAAGTAAAGGATCATGGTCTGTGCAGTTCCCTTTTTTTAAATACTTTTAAGTAAAAAAAATTGCAATCCGATATATGTTGATGGACCACGACATTATTGTGAGAGTTCTGATGATACGATACCACGATATTTCTGTTATTGTTACATCACTACTTTCTGTCTTCATGGAGACCAAACCAGACCTGTCAGATCTATGGAGAGGCGACCAAAAATATACACAGTGCACCTTTAATATCCACTTTAAGATGCACCGTGTTGCTTTTGGTGTGAGGTCTGCCGCTTGTCTACTTCTTGTATTCATGGAGATGTTATTGCTTAGCTGGGAATGTTCCACAGTATGGCATTACACTTATCCAAGTCCGCGAAGACATGAGGAAGCCAAATCCGTGTGTCATTCATTCATTCGTTTTTCAAAATATAACCAAAAATAAGGAAAAAAAAACTATAATTTTCTTCATTATTTGTCTTCAAACCCAAAATGAAAAAAAAAAAAAGATAATGATTTGTTTTTCAGTTTTCGATTTTGTGTTTAAATGAATAATGGAAAAAAAAGATAATGGTCGTTTCCCCTTTCTGTTACTTAAACTGTGATGCCGGACTGAATCAGGACTGAATCAGGATTGAATCAGGACTGAACCAGGTCTAAACCAGGACTAAACCAGGTCTAAACCAGGTCTAATCCAGGACTAAACCAGGTCTAAACAAGGACTAAACAAGGTCTAAACCAGGTCTAAACCAGGACTGAACCAGGACTGAACCAGGTCTACCAGGTCTAAACCAGGACTAAACCAGGACTAAACCAGAACTAAACCAGAACTGAATCAGGGATAAACCAGGATTGAACCAGATCATGGTCTGAGTCCTGGTTCAGTTCTGGTTCAGTCCTGGTTCAGTCTGGCATCACAGTTTAAGTCACGGAAACGGGAAACAAACGTTATCCTTTTTTTCCATTATTCATTTAAACACAAAATCGAAAACTGAAAAAACAAATCTTTACCTGTTTTTTTTTTTTTTTTTTCTCCATTTTGGTTTTGGAATCAAATAATGAAGAAAATAGTTTTTTCATTTTCTTATTTTTGGTTTTATTTAGAAAAACTAATGAACAAATGAAACATGGATTAAGCCAAGTTACACGTCAGATCGTCTCACGGTAACAAGACGTGTTTATCAAGATATGTAGCAATAATAATCAGGGATGTCACAATAACCGAAATATTGTGATATCATATCGTCAAAATTCTCACAATATATCGAATTAAAAGTTCCTTTGCTTAAATGCAATTAATTTTATAGCAGCAACAGCTTATGAACATTGGAAACTACATCTCCCATGATTCATTTCAGTGGAGACAACATGAAGAAATATGTTTTTTACTTAAATTTTTCGAATTATGACAGAAATAATTCACACTAAAATCTTGTCAAGGTAATTTAAAAGCAAAAAAGTGTTCCATCTACAAAATATGTCAATAAATATCGTGCTGTGAGATGAACGCAATGGACAAAAGCGTCATTTCCGTGCTGAAGAAACACAAAACGTCTCCGTGGAGGAAAGCAGATCGTGGCCCACCTCCAGAAAACTTACATAATGCAGCAGAGCACACTGGACCCATAGGCAGTCATCAATTGATAGATAGTAAAACACTATCGCCATGGTAACCGGAGTTGTTCTGAATGATCACATCAGTTCTGCATTTAAAGGAAAGTCCGTGTAATTACACTTTGGCATTGACAGGTGTGTGTGGCACACTCGTCGTAGCTCTTATAGTGACTTCATTGAACCCGTGTCTTTGATGGCGAATCCAAGGTGAGCGCATTGATTTGAATAGACGGCGCTCGGACCTGTTGGAGCAGAGTAATGCTGTGCTCTAAATGAGTAAAGACACTACATAAAGAGGCTATAGGGGCGAACTGTCTCAGGTGCTTCTAACAATGCAGCTCTAGCAAACAGACAACACTGAAAAGGACCAAGGACACCATAGAAAAGACCCAGTCAGCTCAGACTTAACAACTGTCTCTTTATCAAATGCATGCATTAAATTAAAGGTGCATTGCGTAGCTTTTCTGGTTGGTGGTCCGTCACCTGCTTGTTTCTACAGATATAAACAGCTCCAGATGTGAAAAATCCCTCAGTCGTCCAGGTAGGATCCATGGCAAAAGGAGAAATTCAATTTGTCAACTGGACAAAAGTTTATTTGGTCGAATACGAGTCATGAGCTGAGTTGTTTACTCGACAGTAAGTGGGCACTTTTTTATTTAACCAATCGCTGCTGTTTGGTTGTGATGTATGTAATGCACCTTCTAACGGGGTTAACTGGTATATTAAGCTTTTCCCAAATCCCGGAGGAAGAAGGGCAATAACGTCTTTCCCCTTGATAAAATTCACCAAACATTCTCTTTGTTACGGCTTTAAATCCTCGATCTCGGGAATCGTTGCCAACACAGAATTTTTGGCTCTTCGCTGATTGGTTGGTGCCTGAACTCACACTTCCAGGGTTTTTGCGAACCATCTAGTGTATTCTGATTCCTGACCTAGTCGCTGGAGAGAAATGAAATTGAGCGGAGGGGCTAGGTGGCGCCAGCCTGGCTAATGTCTCAGTTCATCCAAGCTGCTTCTTCAGTTTTGGTCCGACATTGGTGACACTTCCTTATATCTGCTGCAGAGAGGAACTAACTGTGAATGAGGAGCTAGTGAAACTACTCTGAAACTAACCTATTGGTTAGTGTTGTGACCCTAGCTTGTGTCTGTATGTTGTGGGTGCAGGTTTGTGTTGTTGCTGGCTCTCTCCCCCTAACTTCCAGATTCCTAAGAGCGAGAGCCAACCCAACGAGCTACACCTGATTGTGAGCGTGGAACACCACCTTTAAAAGCCGGCTGCTGGAGACTGCCCTTTCTCTTCTCTTCTCTCCACCACACGGCCACAACTTTATTTGCACATTGCTTTTAAATAAATACCTATTTTTGTACTTTTTTAAACATGTGTGGACCCTCCCTTGTTCGAAGTGTGGGGTGCAGTTTACAGAAAATTGTAAACAAGTGTGTGTGTTAGTTTCAGAGTAGTTTCAGTGTAGTTAGCTCCTCCTGCAGTCAGAGAAAAGGAAGTGTCCACCAGAGTCTGACCAGAACTGAAGAAGCAGCTAGGATGTGAAACATCGACCTAATAAACTTTTGTCCAGTCGACAAATTGAACTTTTGCCTGTAGCTCTACTTCACGTTTATTCAGTTACAAATGGTTTTATATCTCAAAAATATCCAGAAAAACAGCAAACATCTCCACAGAGAAAAGCATTTGATGGATCCTCTACCAGAAAATTTAGGCATTGCACCTTTAAGTCTTAAGCCTGAACCGTGGTAATGCCGCTTACGCGAACAGACACAAAACGAACAGACAAACACAGGTGCAGAGGAGAGATACAGAGGTGAAGACAGGAGCGGAAGACGGGAGACTTACCGCGGATAACCTCTGGGACCGCCGGGTGGGCTGTGGGAGGAAAGGGTGATGAACAAGAGAGAGAGAGAGAGACAGAAGAGAGGACAGAGAGATCAGTGCTATCCTGCTCACACTTCAACTGGAGCGGGACAAAATAAAACTGTTTCTGTTTTCTCTGGTTTAACGGCGCTTTGTGTTAAAGGTCCTGGATTATGTAAAAATGATTCTTGTGAGCTTTAAGACGTGTTCTAATGCCGTTTCTTCCTCAAAAACACACCTGGAGTTGTGTTTTGTTTCATTCACCTGTTTAAGTAACCTTTTATGATTAGTCTGTCTACATCTCCAAAGCTCCAAATGCTCTGTTCCACCTTGTGATGTCATGAAGCTGTAGTTTTCAAGTTAACATTTTTTGGACTATAAGTGGCACTTTTTTTCATGATTTGGGTGTTTCCTGCGACTTATACTCTGGTGTGACTTATATATTCAAATGTTGACAGTGAAGCGGTGAGAGGTTCTAGTTTTGTGTGTGAGTATCTGCTGCTCCTGTTCCTCCTGTACCACTGTCACTTCACTCTACTGCACATGTCTCCTGCAGAAAGAGCCTCTGTTCTGTCTGTATCATGTCAGTCGATCGCACCATTACTTCTGCACCACTGAACAATTAAAACAAACTTATAAAGACGACTGATAAGACTGAACACAAATGCCATCAAAAAGAAAATCATATTTTGCAGATTACAAACTGCAAGTCTGAAGCTGCAGCTGAAAACAGTAATCGAGCAGAAGAAGTTTAGAGTAAGAGGTTGGGGTATTTGGGTAATTGGGGTAGGACTCTATAAGATTTTTAAACTTCATCCTACTCCTTTTGAGCACCAGGTCCCAAATATGTTCATGTACATATCACTATTTTTGTTATTGTTTTTGAATGTTGTTATACCTGGCTCAAACAAATAAAATGAATGAAAAGAGACAAATTTATGAGGGACTGGCAGAAAGCGGGGATGGAGAACACAGCTTCACGGTAACCGGGAGGATGCACCATGAAACTTTCCTGGAAGTCACTGGATGGATGGACAAAACCTGGACTTCAGACACATAGAAAAAAACAGAAACCATCCTGTCGGGATTCAAAAACATCTAACTGGAACTGATGTTGAGTCTGACGACCGCTACACAGAAGAGGAAACGACTCTCTGTTTACCTCCTTCTTTCAAGATGAAGTGTCAGTTACTGGTCTCTGATTTTATAAAATAAATTTCCCCCAAAAAGTGTGACTTATAGTCCGGTGTGACTTATATATGTTTTTTTTCTTCTTCATTATGCATTTTTTGGCACTTTTTTTTTTTTTACTCCGGAGTGACTTATAGTCCAAAAAATACAGTACATGGGCTGAAATGATCCAAATGATTCTAGAGAAGATGTATAGAGTTTAAAAAAACTGTGGAGCACTTTCTGTACATATGGCATGACATCACAAGGTGGAACAGAGTGTTTTATGTTTGAAAGAAGAACTCAGCCTAAATGTGCAGGGTTTGTGTGTGTGAATAAAACAAAACACAACTCCAGGTCTGTTTGTGATGAGGAATCTACATTAGAACACAGATCAGGAAATAATGTAATATCTGCTCTTTAAATTGAACTACATTTTAATTTTATCCCTAAACTATTGTACACTGCATCACTTTCCTGATGGAAAGTACCCCACCTGCTTGTCTCCATAGAGATGTTATACCTTTGCTTAGAATATTCCACAGTACTACTTTAAAAAGGTCAGACTGAAATCAAAGCAACAACATCTCTATGGAACAACATTAGAAAAGTTTTACAGTGCACCTTTTAATATGTGCCAATATGAAATCATTCTCAAACAAGCTATGACATGAAACCTAAAATAATATTTTAAAAGCCATGTATGAGTCATAATCTTATTTATTTTGTTCCATTCTATTCAAATTTTCCAGATTTTTTATTACTTATTTTCTATATATATTTTCTATTTTTTTTATTTTGACTTGTGTATACATTTATATAATTATTATGCCTTATTTGACACCTGATATCTTCTTTCCTGCTTATTTAGAATTAATTATTACCATTTACAGTATATTCTTGCTTTTTGTTATTATATTATATTATATTATATTACAGTATATTGTGATGTGTGAGCTCCTGTGTGGATCAGTAAAGTTTGTCTAAGTCTAAGTTTAAATTTATTCTGGTTTTGTCCTGATCTGGTTTACTCTATCTTACTTTGTGATTGTTCACTATTTGACTGACAAATAAAAGCATTTGCATATTTAACCTACTAACAAAATATTAATTAAATTGTTCCTGGAAATGATATGATGTTGTTTCTACCACACGGACGCATTTTCTACATTTTCTGTCACTGAAACAGAACTTGTACTAGTATATTAGACACACACATGATTATGTCACTGCACACAAACACACACACACACACACACACACACACACACACACACAGCGCTGGGTTTACCTCCTGCTTTGTGACTTTGGGGGCCTCCTTTCCCTCGGGACCCTCTGGAGACTGAAGAACAATCGGACAGTTAGAACAGGACACGAGAGAACAAAGTCAACCATTTCAACTGACAAAGAACCTGATGCCCGTTCACCACCGCGCTTCATTTAACCCACTCTTCCGCCGCACTCTTGTCTCCATGGAGATGTTATTGCTTTCCCTGGAATGTTCCATGATATGACTTTAAACATTTCCATCGAGCGTTTATTCATTAAGGGTGTTTCCGTCGCTCAAAAACACAATCATTCCATCTGAAGATCTGAACTGTAATATACTCAGTGTTGGGGAGTAACAGATTACATGTACCAGAGTTACGTAATCAGAGTACAAATTATGAGTAACTGTATTCAGTTACAGTTACTGTTTCAGTGAGTGGTAATTGGATTACAGTTACTTTGTTGAAATAAATGGATTACACGGCGGGATTTTCCTGTTTTCACTTTTTTTTTTTTTTTGGTAATTCCAGGACTAAAACCAGGTCTAAACCAGGACTAAAACCAGATCTAAACTAGATCTAAACCAGGTCTAAACTAGATCTAAACCAGGTCTAAAACCAGATCTAAACCAGGACTAAAACCAGGTCTAAACTAGATCTAAACTAGGACTAAAACCAGGTCTAAACTAGATCTAAACCAGGACTAAAACCAGGTCTAAACTAGATCTAAACCAGGACTAAAACCAGGTCTAAACTAGATCTAAACCAAGACTAAAACCAGGTCTAAAACCAGGTCTAAGATAGATCTAAACCAGGTCTAAACTAGATCTAAACCAGGACTAAGACCAGGACTAAACTAGATCTAAACCAGGTCTAAAACAGGATTTAACAGGACTAAATCATGCTGCGCGGATGTGTCTCCTCCTCTTCTATCAATAATATTTTTAATACGGTTAAGTATCCTGGTCTTTGCTTCTCTACAGCAAATCAAGTAATCCAAAGTATTCAGATTACATTACTCACTTTAAGTAATTTAATGGATTACGTTACAAACTACATTTTGGGGTATGTAATCTGTAATCTGTAGGGGAATACATTTTAAAAGTCACCTTCCCAACACTGAATATAGTGTAGTGCTGTAACCTGCTCATCGGTTTAATCTGTATTGTGGAACATTCTAGACAAAGCAGTAACATTGGAGCAGGTGGCGGACTCTATTCACATTTGTTGTATTTTAAAAGATTGATCAATGTTATTCAAGTGTTATTGTAATACAAAAGCTTTAGCATCGTACACAGGTTTTGGTATTTTGGTATTTGGTCGACATACTTCAAACTCAGAGGCGGTGCGAACATTAGGCAACAATAAGTGGGGCCCCGAACCAGGAGGGGCCCCAACCAGTCGCCCCCAGTGCCAGTAATGGACGAGGTCTCAGAGCAGTTTGATTTTAGTACTTTAGTTTAGCAGTTTTACTTTTAAATAAGAAAACATCATCAAAATAGACGCTAATTGTCAAATCTATTTTTATTGTCCCCCCCTTTCACGTTAGAATGGACTCGTCTTCACCCTGATTTGAATATAATCAATCATAATCACAACATAATCATAAACATATTATAGATTTACGGGCGGGAACGGGACAAAATACTGCAGATGCGGGCGGGGGTGAGACAGAAAATTGTCTCATGAACAATCGGAGAAAAAAAACAAACAAAACAGACAAAACAAACAGGCAAAAAAAAAAAAAAAAAGAAAAGAAAAGAACCAACCAAACAAAAAAAAAAACAAAACATTGCATTATAGTGAGGGCCCCAAACTCAAGTTCACCTAGGGCCCCCAAATCGCTGACTCCACCACTGCTTCAACTTAATTGTGTTCAGAAAGTGTTTTTGATTTAGAAAAGTTTAACTAAACAAAAAAGTTAAAACTGCATCTTTAGATTCATTTATGAACAGTTAAAGGTGCATTGTGTAACTTTTCTGTTTGAGTTTCCGTTAAATACTTTTCTCCATGCAGATGTTTTTGTTTTTTCTGGAATGTTTCACAGTATGACCTTAAACTTTTCTATCATCACGGAGACCAAACCAAACCAAGTTACAGGTCAGATCTGTGGAGAGGCGACCCCGCTCACAGTCACAATGTCCAAAGTTTTTCTAGGTGTTTTTCAGCTCTAAAACCACCTGTAATTGAATAAATGTAAAGTAGAGCTGTTTAATGTCACACTGTGGAACATTCCAGGCAGAGCAATGACATCTCCATAGAAACAACTGACCGAAAAAGTTACATAGTGCATCTTTAAGTCTTGAGTAATACCTGATAGTGACAGTTCAGTACGTCTATAGGCAGTGGAGTCACGATAATTTCTGTGTATTTTTCTTCATATCTGCTCCTTTAAATCATGAAAATGCCTTATATTATGAACATTTACTTTATCTATTGTTATTTATTGTATTACTGTGCATTTTCATGAGAGAAATAAATAAAAACATGAAAATGAAATGAAAGAAATGACTTAAATAAATGACTCATTCAATACATGTAAAATGGAACAATATTTTTTGGAGCTCAATAGTCATAGGTACTTTTTCTTTGCAGTAATGAGGAAACTTTTTGGTATTTTTCTGAACTATGAACAGATTTGAGCTGTTCAAAGTTCAGTAAAAAACTTGCATGAATCATTCTAGACAGAAAATAACTAAGTGTGTTTTATTTTGCTATTTATTCATCGCAAATCTCGATTTTTCTAACAATATTATAAATTTAAAATATTTTGGGAAAAATAATTCTACACTTCGGTTTTTGTCAGTGGCATGAGTTTGTTCCAATATAATTATTATATGGAACAAATTTTTTTGGAACTGAATAGTCATAGGTACTTAGATACTTTTTCTTTGCAGTAATGAGGAACTTTTTGGTATTTTTCTGAACTATGAACAGATTAGAGCTGTTCAAATCTGAATAAAAACATTGCATGAATCATTCTAGACAGAAAATAACTATAAGTGTGTTTTATTCATCGCAGATTTCGATTTTTCTAACAATATTATAAATTTTGAACATTTTGGGAAGGATAACTACGTCAGTGGCATGAATTAGTTCTAATATAACAAGTTTTTTTGGGACTTCGTAGTCATATGTACTTTTTCTTTGCAGTAATGAGGAACTTTTTGGTATTTTTTTGTACTATGAAAAGATTTGAGCTGTTGAAAGTTGAATAAAAAACTTGCATGAATCATTATAGACAGAAAATAAGTACAAAAGTGTTTTATTCTGTCATTTATTCATTGCAAATCTCAATTTTTCTAACCATATTATAAATGTAGAATTGTTTTTCCCAAAATATTCTACATTTGGGTTATTGTCAGTGGCATGAATTAGTTCCAATATAACAAGATTTTTTGGAACTCAATAGTCATAGGTACTTTTTCTTTGCAATAATGAGGAACTTTTTGATATTTTTCTGTACAATGAACAGATTTTGATTTGAAAAGGTTCATTGTTTTTAACCATATTATACATTTTGAGTATTTTGGGAAGGAAAATTCTACGTGAGTGGCATGAATTAGTTCCAATATAACAAGATTTTTTGGGGGACTCAATAGTCATATGTACTTTTTCTTTGCAATAATGAGGAACTTTTTTGTATTTTTCTGAACTATGAAAATAACTGAGTTGTTGAAAGTTGAATACAAACCTTGGAAACTTGGAAAATAACTATAAGTGTGTTTTGTTCTGTGATTTCTTCACTGCAGATCTCATTTTTTCTAAACATATTACAAATTTAGAATATTTTGGAAGGATAATTCTGTGTTTGGGTTATTGTCAGTTGCATGAATTAGGTCCAATATAATTATTATAATGGAACAAATTTTTTTGAGCTGAATAGTCATAGGTACTTAGATACTTTTTCTTTGCAGTAATGAGGAACTTTTTGGTATTTTTTCTGAACTATGAACAGATTAGAGCTGTTCAAATCTGAATAAAAACATTGCATGAATCATTCTAGACAGAAAATAACTATAAGTGTGTTTTATTCATCGCAGATTTCGATTTTTTCTAACAATATTATAAATTTTGAACATTTTGGGAAGGATAACTACGTCAGTGGCATGAATTAGTTCTAATATAACAAGTTTTTTTGGGACTCGTAGTCATTGTACTTTTTCTTTGCAGTAATGAGGAACTTTTTTTTTTTTGTCTATGAAAAGATTTGAGCTGTTGAAAGTTGAATAAAAAACTTGCATGAATCATTATAGACAGAAAATAAGTACAAAAGTGTTTATTCTGTCATTTATTCATTGCAAATCTCAATTTTTCTAACCATATTATAAATGTAGAATTGTTTTCCCAAATATTCTACATTTGGGTTTTGTCAGTGGCATGAATTAGTTCCAATATAACAAGATTTTTTGGAACTCAATAGTCATAGGTACTTTTTCTTTGCAATAATGAGGAACTTTTTGATATTTTTCTGTACAATGAACAGATTTTGATTTGAAAAGGTTCATTGTTTTTAACCATATTATACATTTTGAGTATTTTGGGAAGGAAAATTCTACATGAGTGGCATGAATTAGTTCCAATATAACAAGATTTTTGGGGGACTCAATAGTCATATGTACTTTTTCTTTGCAATAATGAGGAACTTTTTGTATTTTTCTGAACTATGAAAATAACTGAGTTGTTGAAAGTTGAATACAAACCTGAAACTTGGAAATAACTATAAGTGTGTTTTGTTCTGTGATTTCTTCACTGCAGATCTATTTTTTCTAAACATATACAAATTTAGAATATTTGGAAGGATAATTCTGTGTTTGGGTTATTGTCAGTTGCATGAATTAGGTCCAATTATAATTATTATAATGGAACAAATTTTTTGGAGCTCAATAGTCATATGTACTTTTCTTTGCAGTAATGAGGAACTTTTGGTATTTTTCTGAACTCTGAACAGATTTGAGCTGTTCAAAGTTGAATAAAAACTTGCATGAATCATTATAGACAGAAAATAACTAAAGTGTGTTTTATTTTGCTATTTATTCATGGCAAATCTTGATTTTTAAACAATTTTCAGTATTTTTGGGAGGATAATTGTGTGTTTGGGTTATTGTCAGTGGCATGAATTAGTCCCAATATCAGATTTTTTTTGGAACTCAATAGTCATGGGTAGTTTTTCTTTGCAATAATGAGGAACTTTTTGGTATTTTTCTGACAATGAACAGAATTTTGATTTGAAAAGGTTCATTGTTTTTAACCATATTATACATTTTGAGTATTTTGGGAAGGAAAATTCTACGTGAGTGGCATGAATTACTTCCAATATAACAAGATTTTTTGGGGACTCAATAGTCATATGTACTTTTTCTTTGCAGTAATGAGGAACTTTTGGTATTTTTCTGAACTCTGAACAAGATTTGAGCTGTTCAAAGTTGAATAAAAAACTTGCATGAATCATTATAGACAGAAAATAAGTACAAAAGTTTTTATTCTGTCATTTATTCATTGCAAATCTCAATTTTTCTAACCATATTATAAATGTAGAATTGTTTTTCCCAAAATATTCTACATTTGGGTTATTGTCAGTGGCATGAATTAGTTCCAATATAACAAGATTTTTTGGAACTCAATAGTCATAGGTACTTTTTCTTTGCAATAATGAGGAACTTTTTTGATATTTTTCTGTACAATGAACAGATTTTGATTTGAAAAGGTTCATTGTTTTTAACCATATTATACATTTTGAGTATTTTGGGAAGGAAAATTCTACATGAGTGGCATGAATTAGTTCCAATATAACAAGATTTTTTGGGGGACTCAATAGTCATATGTACTTTTTCTTTGCAATAATGAGGAACTTTTTTGTATTTTTCTGAACTATGAAAATAACTGAGTTGTTGAAAGTTGAATACAAACCTTGGAAACTTGGAAAATAACTATAAGTGTGTTTTGTTCTGTGATTTCTTCACTGCAGATCTCATTTTTTCTAAACATATTACAAATTTAGAATATTTTGGAAGGATAATTCTGTGTTTGGGTTATTGTCAGTTGCATGAATTAGGTCCAATATAATTATTATAATGGAACAAATTTTTTGGAGCTCAATAGTCATATGTACTTTTTCTTTGCAGTAATGAGGAACTTCTTGGTATTTTTCTGAACTCTGAACAGATTTGAGCTGTTCAAAGTTGAATAAAAACTTGCATGAATCATTATAGACAGAAAATAACTATAAGTGTGTTTTATTTTGCTATTTATTCATGGCAAATCTTGATTTTTGAAACAATTTTCAGTATTTTTGGGAGGATAATTGTGTGTTTGGGTTATTGTCAGTGGCATGAATTAGTCCCAATATCAGATTTTTTTTTGGAACTCAATAGTCATGGGTAGTTTTTCTTTGCAATAATGAGGAACTTTTTGATATTTTTCTGTACAATGAACAGATTTTGATTTGAAAAGGTTCATTGTTTTTAACCATATTATACATTTTGAGTATTTTGGGAAGGAAAATTCTACGTGAGTGGCATGAATTACTTCCAATATAACAAGATTTTTTGGGGGACTCAATAGTCATATGTACTTTTTCTTTGCAGTAATGAGGAGCGTTTTGGTATTTTTCTGAACTCTGAACAGATTTGAGCTGTTCAAAGTTGAATAAAAACTTGCATGAATCATTATAGACAGAAAATAACTATAAGTGTGTTTTATTCTGCGATTTATTCATCACATATCTCGATTTTTCAAACCATTTTGAGTATTTTTGGGAGGATAATTGTGTGTTTGGGTTATTGTCAGTGGCATGAATTAGTCCCAATATCAGATTTTTTTGGGGCACAACAGTCATATGTACTTTTTCTTTGCACTAATGAGGAACTTTTTGGTATTTTTCTGAACTAATGAACAGATTTTGATTTGAAAAGGTTCATTGTTTTTAACCATATTATACATTTTGAGTATTTTGGGAAGGATAAATTCTACATTTGGGTTATTGTCAGTGGCATGAATTAGTTCCAATATAATTATTATGGAACAATAGTCATTTTGGGACTTTTTCTTTGCAGTAATGAGGACTTTTGGTATTTTTCTGAACTATGAACAGATTTGAGCTGTTCAAAGTTGAATAAAAACTTGCCTTGATCATTCTAGACAGAAAATAACTATAAGTGTTTTATTCTGCGATTTATTCATCACATATCTCGATTTTTCAAACCATTTTGAGTATTTTTGGGAGGATAATTGTGTGTTTGGGTTATTGTCAGTGGCATGAATTAGTCCCAATATCAGATTTTTTTGGGACTCAATAGTCATAGGTACTTTTTCTTTGCACTAATGAGGAACTTTTTGGTATTTTTCTGAACTACGAACAGATTTTGATTTGAAAAGGTTCATTATTTTAACCATATTATACATTTTGAATATTTTGGGAATTATAATTGTACATTTGGGTTATTGTCAGTGGCATGAATTAGTTCCAATATAATTATTATATGGAACAAGTCTTTTGGGGACTTCTTTGCACTAATGAGTTACTTTTTGGTATTTTTCTGAACTATGAACAGATTTGAGCTGTTCAAAGTTGAATAAAATGTTCCTTGGATCATTCTAGACAGAAAATAACTTTTTATTCTGCTATTTATTCATTGCAAATCTTGATTTTTCAAACCATATTATACATTTTGAATATTTTTGGGAGGATAATTCTGTGTTTGGGTTTTTGTCAGTGGCATGAATTGGTCCCAATATACGATTTTTTTGGAACTCAATAGTCATAGGTACTTTTTCTATGCAGTAATGAGGAACTTTTTGGTATTTTTCTGAACTATGAACAAATTTTGATTTGAAAAGATTTGTTTTTAAACCATATTATACATTTTGAATATTTTGGGAAGGATAATTCTACATTTGGGTGAATGTCAGTGGCACGAACCTATACTCTCTTTGACAATAAATCTATTTCAGAATGAGTTTTCGTGCCAGGCTTTTTTGACAGTAGTAATTAGAGCATTAGTGTATATTTGATGACATAATCCTCCAGCTCTGGTAAGTTGCTCGGTGAGAGAGAGTGGCAGGAGGTCGGGAGGAGGCGTTCACGCGTTAGTCCAGCCTCCGGAGGGAAAAATGTTGTTGGAGCTGCAGGTTGGCGGTGACTTCATTTGCATGTGGGCGACCTCCACCCCGCGAGGCCCCCCATTCTGTGTCCTCAAAGGCAGAACGTGCGCAGACAATGGCAGTTTTTACACAGCAGAAACAGCTCGTGGTGCACTGTTGTTATAAGCGCTTTTTTTTTTTACGCAGAGGCGATTGTTCCTTAAAAGCCTTTCTCTTTCCCCTTCTCTTTATGTGCACACGGGTTTATTCATCTGGCCCAGTGCCCACCATTCTTCCTTTACAGCCTGGGGAATAGCTGATCACCTGTGCTTACGTTAAACATTAATAGAAATATACGAACATGTGTCATTATCGCGTTTTGGAACAACCAGCGTTACGCACATCTTTACAGGACGCATCCGGACCGTCCGCTGGCTCCAAACGCTTCAGTCCCAGCGCACACGAACAGGGAAGTGGCAAATAAATAATAAAAAAAAAACGACACCAGCAAGGCCATTAAAGAAACACCCGAAACGATTCACGCTGTCAACGGGGGGGAGAAACGTGACGGCGGGGACGTTTCGGGAGGCGAACCGGAGCGCGGAAGCAGAGCGGAGAGGCGACACACGCAGAGACACGTCCTAAAAAAAACTTTGGCTTCTCCTCACCTGCCCTACGTCGTCACATATTTGCTGCACCGCTATTTCCACCTCCGAGACACAGCCAAACTACAGAATGAAGTGGTAAACCGGTACTCACCTTTCTTTTCGGCATTTTGAGCGTGATTTTTACTCCCTCTCAAAACGGCGAGGCGGAACGGAGCGGCCAGGAGAGGTGGATTCGTGCTACCTACGGAACACGGGATCAATAACCAAGCACCTTCGATAATATGTTGATTATATGCACTCCCCAAAACTCTTGAACGCGCGTCGCCATTGGATAGATCGCGTAAAATCCTCTGTGTTGCTCACTCGCCATTGGTCATCGGCGTATCCATGTAAATAGGACCTTCGCCGTGATTGGCCCGCGCCCTTTGCACGCAGACTTTTACGCACGGCCACGGTCGCGAGGGAAAGTGGAGACAAGCCAATTGAAAGCGGGGCCGACTCTCGGTGGATCTGGGTAATGTAGGATGCGAGGCACAGGAGTGGAAATAAAGCAAAAAGCTCCAGAAATACGAGAAACAAAAGAGAATGTGGCTCAAAAAAAAAAAAAAAAAAAAAAAAAGGACTTCAGAAACGCGCACAAACACACACACGGGCTTTGTGCGAGTTCAATAAACACACACTACACAGCAAAAAGTACAGTGTTAAAAGTGACTCTCGTAGAATCAGTTTGAACAGTTTCTCAGAGTTTTTATGAGTCCAATCTGTTCTAGAGTTAATTTAACACTTTTTGGAAATGTTAATGAAGTAACACTGGACCAAAGTTTCTGTTTAACTTCAAAATCAAGAGTTATATTACTGTTTTATGAGTAAACGGATAACACTTTGTAGAGTTATCCTGATTTAGCTCAACAACACACAGAGCCGTTTTATTTTTACACTTTATTTGAGTTAAATTAAGATGAAATTGTGAACAAAACTGGTTCAAACTCGCAGGAATTTGAAGTTGAATCCACTTTAATAATATCAACTCTGACAAATAACCCCAACTCCAATCCCCATTTAACTTTCAAATAGTTAAAATAACACTTTTGGTGTTAAAAACAATTCTGAAATTTTAACCCTCCAGTTATTACTGTGTATATAATACCATAAATAAACCAAAAATACTTAGTTTCACTGTGTTGGGGACTTTACTAGGACAGTATCATTATCTTTCACTGTAACGTTTGTGGACTATTTCAGTGATCATTGACAACAGAGGTGGAAGGTAACGAAACAAACATAGTAAAGTACTGTATTTAAATTTAAATTGTACACAGCAAAAAGTAGAGTGTTTTCAGAGTTTATATGAGTCCAATCTGTTCTAGAGTCCATTTAACATTTTTGGAAATGTTCATTAAGTAACACTGGACCAAAGTTCCTGTTTCACCCTGAAATCCAGAGTTATATTACTGTTTTGAGAGTAAACAGATAACACTTTGTAGAGTTATCCTGATTTAGCTAAACAACACACAGAGACGTTTTATTTTATTTTTTACTATATTTTAGTTCATTTAAGATGAAATGATGTACAAAACTGGTTCAAACTGGTCTTTTCTCACAGGAGTTTGAAGTTGAATTCACTTTAATCATATCAACTCTGGCAAATAACCCCAACTCCAACTCCCATTTAACTTTGAAATACTTAAAATAACACTTTTTGTGTTATAAACAACTTTGAAATTTTAACCCTCCAGTTATTACTGTGTATATAATACCATAAATAAACCAAAAATACTTTGTTTCACACTGTTGTGGACTTTAGGACAGTATTATTATCTTTCACTGTAATGTTTGTTGGCTATTTTAGTGATCATTTAGTTAAGTACTGTACTTAAATATAAATTGAAGTTGTCTGTACTTTACTTAAGTACATTGTAACCTGGATACTTTTTAGGGATGTAACAATAACCAACCAACCAAAATATCGTGATGTCGTATCATCAAAAGTCTCACAATAATATCGTGAGCTGTCACAATATATCGAATCACAATTTCCTTTGCTTAAATGAATGGTTTTATAGTAGTTACAGCTGGTAAACATAGAGAACTACATCTCCCATGATTCATTTCAGTGCAGACAACATGAAGAAATATGTTTTTACTTGAATTCTTGAGATTATAACGAAAATAATTCACACCAAAATCATGTCATGGTATTTTAAAAGCAAAAAAGCGTCCCATCTACAATTATATCAGCCTCTCCAAAATATCGCAATAAATATCGTACCTTGAGATGAATATCGTGATAATATCGTACAGAGAGATTTGGATATCGTTACATCCCTAGTACTTTTTACTTTTACTTCACTACATTTGAGAGCAGGTGTCTGTACTTTCTACTTCACTACATTTTTGAACAGATCTGAAAAGTAAAAGTATTTTTTTATTATTGTGTGCTGAGAGCTGCGGCAAAAGTCGACGGGTTTATTTTTAACACATTTGTAGTTTGAAAAAACAAAAGTATACAAATATAATATACAGTATACAATATAATATATAAATAAAAACACATGAAATTGTTTCTGTTGTCACAAATTTGTATGAGAATCAGTACATTTGAAGAACTTGAAATCTGTGCGAAATACTTTTACTTATTACTCTTCAAGTACATTTTAAACAAGTACTTTTAAACATACTTTTAACTAAGTAGAGTTTTCATGTGATATATTTACTTTGACTTGATATGCTTTTAGCTTCAGTGTTTTTTTTGTTTTTTTTTTGTTTGTTTGTTTTGTTTTGTTTTTTTTGTTTTCCGCTATTTGTGCTTTTAATTTAAGTAACAAATGTGAGTACTTCTTTCAATGTGAGTACTTCTTCCAATGTGAGTACTTCTTCAAATGTGAGTACTTCTTCAAATGTGAGTACTTCTTCAAATGTGAGTACTTCTTCAAATGTGAGTACTTCTTCCAATGTGAGTACTTCTTCCAATGTGAGTACTTCTTTCAATGTGAGTACTTCTTCCAATGTGAGAATGTGAGTACTTCTTCCAATGTGAGTACTTCTTCCAGTGTGAGTACTTCTTCCAATGTGAGTACTTCTTCAATGTGAGTACTTCTTCAGTGTGAGTACTTCTTCCAATGTGAGTACTTCTTCCAATGTGAGTACTTCTTTCAATGTGAGTACTTCTTCAAATGTGAGTACTTCTTCCATTGTGAGTACTTCTTCAAATGTGAGTACTTCTTCCATTGTGAGTACTTCTTTCAATGTGAGTACTTCTTCCAATGTGAGTACTTCTTCCATTGTGAGTACTTCTTTCAATGTGAGTACTTCTTCAAATGTGAGTACTTCTTCCATTGTGAGTACTTCTTTCAATGTGAGTACTTCTTTCAATGTGAGTACTTCTTCCAATGTGAGTACTTCTTCAAATGTGAGTACTTCTTTCCAATGTGAGTACTTCTTTCAATGTGAGTACTTCTTCCAATGTGAGTACTTCTTCCAATGTGAGTACTTCTTCCAATGTGAGTACTTCTTTCAATTTGAGTACTTCTTCCAATGTGTGAGTACTTCTTTCAATGTGAGTACTTCTTCCAAAGTACTTCTTCCAATGTGAGTACTTCTTCCAATGTGAGTACTTCTTCCAATGTGAGTACTTCTTCCAATGTGAGTACTTCTTCAATGTGAGTACTTCTTCCAATGTGAGTACTTCTTTCAATGTGAGTATTTTTTCAATGTGAGAATGTGAGTACTTCTTTCAGTGTGAGTACTTCTTTCAATGCGAGTACTTCTTCCGATGTGAGTACTTCTTCCAAAGTAAGTACTTCTTCCAATGTGAGTACTTCTTCCAAAGTAAGTACTTCTTCCAATGTGAGTACTTCTTCCAATGTGAGTACTTCTTCCAATGTGAGTACTTCTTCCAGTGATTGATTTATTTCTGTTATTGCTTAAGCCTCTTGGATGAAGGAGTTCACTTGTCATGGTCCGGTTTGGTCTGGTCTTGCTTTGGTCCTTCTCAGGTTCAGTCCTGGTCTAGTTTAGTCCTGGTCTAGTTTAGTCCTGGTTTAGTTTAGTCCTGGTTTAGTTCCGGTTTAGTCCCAGTGTTGATGTGATGAGCGTGAAAATAACCTCAAGGTCAAACACAAAATACACTGAACCCAAGACCAGTTCCACCATGAAACCCTTTTGAAAGCTTCTGTTAGTAAACCTCACATAACAGAATCATATTTAAAATGTGTTGCTTTTATTGTGACAGTTAAATTTCTCTCTCATTAACTAAAGTCCAGCCAAAGGTCAAACGAGCTCGAGACGCAACAGTGATCGACCCAAATGACCAACAGAATATGTCATACTCACAGACCGCATGAAGAAGTGGACGAAAGGAGTGAGATGTCATTCATGGTGTTCAGCTCCAGTCAAATGAAGCTCACTGAGGCTGGAGGTTATAGGAGTGAATTTGGAATAGGAATTGATTTACGAACAAAATGATGAAATAAAAAACAAAACAAAAAAACAGGATCATATAGAGCGGGTTAATATGAATTTAAATTTTAAGACCAAAATGATGAAGTAGTGTTGTAGTCAAGACGCACTAATCGAAACCAAGACCCGTCCGAGACCACAGGGTCCCGAGACCGAAACAAGACCAAGACCAAGATAAGACCAAGACTTTTAAAGGTTGAGACTGAGACAAGATCGAGACCACGGCCCATTGAGACCAAATCAAGACCATCTTTGTCATTGCCTACATTTATTTGTGTTTTACAGTTATTTTGGCACATTTATATCAGTGTTTTTTTTTTTTTTAATAAATCTATCTCCATTTGATCTGATTAAAGTTTATTTAGGCCTAAAATAAGCCAAGCAAACTGTGCTGCATTTAAACACTCCATGCCCCTTTTTTGGATCCTTAAGATTCTTTGAGAACCACTTCTGTAAGAAAACTTCCACTGGCACTTTACACAAAACTGTGAAGAAAGTGAGCAGCATTTTATAAACCTGTTTTTTTTTCAAGTTTTCTAACTGGAGGTCCATTGGAACTTCCATGGAGTTCTTACTAGTTTTGCAGTGGGATTTATAAGCCTTGGCACATTTACCAAACACACCTGTGACAAATACAGATGAACTTGTGCACTTTTGTTAGGCAAATTTTAACCACATGTCACAGTAAGAAGTTTATTGCCGACAGCAGCGGCTGTAATGAAATATGATCACACTAGATGAGTGTCAGACCTCGAGTCTGAGACAAGACGAGATCGAGTCTGAGATGAGACCGAGTCCAAACACCTTCAAGACCTGAGACAAGACCAAGATCAAAAGCGTTGGAGTCCGAAACGAGACCAAGACCATAAAACGGTCTTGAGGCCAGTCTCTAGTACTACAACACTATGACGAGGCTCACAGCAGCAGCTACAGAGAGACAGGACTAGTTGAGATAAACATTTTCTCTGATACATTTTTTTCTTTTTTAAGAACTCACTCACTCACAAACTTTAGAGTTTAGAGAGATTATATTTGAGTGTAGCTTTAAGATCATTTGATGAGGCATTTTTACAATCATTGTAACTCTGCTCTTTGGAAATGTTCTGGATGTGTGATGTAAACGGCTCAGTACAATAACCACACTATCATCTTTTAACAAAACAGAAACCAGAAAAACACATGAGTGAGTTTGTCACTGACAGAAAAAGAAAGTGCCACAGAGTGAGAATGTGTAGAGGTGCAGTGTTCAGACTGAGCATGCTCAGTGTGGAGCACCTAGAACACTCAGGAGCAGGACCACTGTCCCCGAGTCGAGCCTTTAACACTCCAGCTCCAGAGAGAAACAGAGAGCAGCAAAGCAGTTCAGAGACACACACATGTGCAACTGTTTCAACAAAACAGACACAATTTGACAGCACACTTTAATCACACCTGTCACACTTGATAGGTGTGAGAGGTAGCTTCTATTTTCCACTAAGATAAAAAAAAAAACTGTGAGGTAAAAGAGTAACCCAGTGCTGGTCAGTACTGGGCTCTGGGTTATTCTGACCCGACACTTTGGGTTTTTAGTTTAACCTTTTGGTTCATTTTGTTCTACTCAGTTCTGGGTTGTATTTGAACTCTCTGCTGAGTTAAATCTACTCAAAAGTGTTTTAAATAAATAATAATAAATGATAAACTGCATTTAAAAATGGTCATGCCATAAACAGTGGAACCTGAGTTAGTCAGCTGTAAATCACTGTAGTTTGTGTTTTGTTAAACAGAAGTGAGAGTCTCTGGAGCAGAAGACTCTTCAGTGTGAGGAGAGTCACTGTGGAACAGAGACAGGGGCCACTTTAGATAAACAGTAAATGAAAACAGTGACAAGTGTCAAGTCACACACAAACCTGGTGGATTTACCTGAGAAACATTCAAATCCAAAATGAAATAAAGTTACTTTTCTGGTGCTGAGCTGTAGTTATACAAACTACAGTCTAAAGTATCTGAAGTTTCTTTGGTGACTTTAACTGATCCAAAATGATGAAACTGTGTGAAGTTTCAGATAAAATCACAAAGATAAAGTCATAAAACATGTATCAATATAAATATTATAACAGAGGTGGATAATGGCGCTGTATAAAAACACACAGTTAAACATTTGTGTGGAGCAGAGGTACCAGCTGCTGCTGTGGACACTCAGAGTCTGTATTTGACCCGTTTACTCAAAAGGAACTTTTCAGAGCCTTTGACCCAGACAGAAAAATGTCTTATTCTCATTATGTTACATTTGATATGATCCAACTTTGACCCAACCTCCTGACCCAGAAAGTAGGTAGATACTACTGCTACTACTGCTACTACTACTATTACTACTACTACTACTACTGCTACTACTGCTACTACTACTACTGCTGCTGCTGCTACTGCTACTGCTACTACTACTACTACTACTACTACTACTACTACTACTACTGCTACTACTACTACTACTACTACTGCTACTGCTACTGCTACTACTACTACTACTACTACTACTACTACTGCTACTGCTACTACTATTACTACTACTACTACTACTACTGCTACTACTACTATTACTACTACTACTACTACTACTACTACTGCTACTGCTACTACTACTACTACTATTACTACTACTACTACTACTATTACTACTACTACTACTACTGCTACTGCTACTACTACTACTACTGCTACTACTGCTACTACTACTACTACTACTACTACTACTACTACTGATACTGCTACTACTACTACAACTACTACTACTGATACTGCTACTACCACTACAACTACTACACTAAGGCTACTACTAACACTAAGGCTACTACTACTACTACTACTACTACTGCTACTGCTACTGCTACTAGTGCTACTACTACAACTACTACTACTACTACAACTACAACAACAACTACTACTACTACTGCTACTAATAATAATAAACATTTTAGTGTGTTATAGTTCACCTACATCCATTCAGTCTTTTAATAATTGTTTCATTTAGAATTCTTGAAGAATCCTGCATTGAATTTAAAATAGGCTCAAGAAATCAAATGAAAAGAGGAGAATCAGTATCAGAATGACCACATTTCCATCTGTCCTAAAATATGTAAATTGGGTTAAATAATTCTTTTGATCACTTGTGAGGGGGTTGAAATCGCGTTCAGCCCACTCTCTGGTGACATTACAGAAGTCCATGCAGGTTCAGACAGTGGACCCGGCGCATGACTGCCCTCTAGCGGTCACGTTCAGTCATTGAAAAAAAAAAAAAAGAAAAAAAAAAAATAAATAAATAAAAAGCTCTCAGTCTCCTCCTCCATTACGTCAGCGGCTCCTGTGCACTTGTCGGGGCTGTGGATTTTGGAGAGGGGAGTCGCGCGTCGCCGTGTGGAGGATGTAGCGGGGGAGAGCGCGGGGCACACGTTTGCGCCGGAGCGGGGCTTTGGAGCTGCGCTAAAGACGCACGGAGCGGAGCCAAAGGCGGGACTTCCCTTCTCAGCTTATCACCGCGAGCAGAGCGGCGGAAGGGCTCGTGTGGGATCAGATATCAGGGGACGGTAATAACACACTGAATAGGCTCTTGCTCTGTTTGAACTGCCTTTTGTTTGCCTTCTCCTGCACTATTCTCTGTGTATGTCTGCGCGGATTGTCTTTGTGGTGAGCTTCGTGTGCGCGCCTTGCAACGGACCGAAAATTCATACTCAAAACGCAACGCTGAACGGTCTCTAACGTGGTGTTTATGGAGTCATCATGAGTTAATTATCTCGTATGACATTGCAACTACAGTTTTTCATCCCAAATTGACAGTGACATCATTTCTGTACAAAGGAGCACGTCTGCACCAGCGTGTACGGGTCAGAGTGCTCCGTTCCAACTTCATTATGTTGACAGTAATGATACAGTCTTGCAAGGATGTAAGGGGATTAACTCTTGCATCTCCTAAATTTAATTCAACACAGACTGCTTTTTACTCTGAAACATCTGCAGATTTTACTCCAAATTGTATAATATGTTAAACAAAATTGCATTCACTACAGTTAAACACGTTAAAATCCTGAAACTAAAATGCAAATTATCTGACTTTTTAGATGTTTTTCTCCATGGAGATGTTATTTCTATGTCTAGAATGTTTCGCTGTATGGTATTAAACATTTATATCTTCATGGTAACCAAATCAGGTCAAGTTACAGGTGAGATCTGTGGAGAGGCGACCCCGCTCACAGTCAGAATGTGTGTTTTTCGAGTATTTTTGAGCTGTAAAACCACCTGTAATTGAATAAATGTAAAGTAGAGCTTTTTAATGTCACACTGTACATTCAGGGCAGAGAATTGACATCTCAACCAAACCAAAAAGTTACACAGTGCATCTTTAAAGTGAAATGTCAATAAACCGTAACACTTCCTTATGTCTCTTATTTGCAATGAGGAAGAATGTAACCAACAATATGGATTTACTTCTGCTTTCTGAAGAGAAAATACTAGAAATGTAACAATAACTGAAATATTGTGATATTATAGCGTCAAAAGTTTTCACAGTAATATCGTGGGCCGTCACAATATATCGAATCTCAAGTGTGTTTGCTTAAATTTACTGTTACGGTGCAGCAACAGCTAAAAAAACAGTGAGAACTACATAGACCATGATCCTTTGCTTGGTTTCAGTGTAATCCACATGCTGAAATAACTGTTGCAAGCACTTTTTAAACTTCATTATTTGGATTATGACGAGAGAAAAGTAGTATATTCACACTTTTGTTCGCCTCAACAGAATATTGCAGTAAATATCGTACCGTGACGTGCATATGGTGAAAATATCGTATCGAGAGATTTGGATATTGTTACATCCCTAGAAAATGCTGTTTGAACTACAAGAGCTAGATTTCCTCACAGTATGGAGCGTTTTTTTTTATATATGTTCTCACTGTGTCTGCAGCGTTGTTGTGGTGAATTAAAAGTTCTAAAATAGTGTAATGATATTGACATAGAGATCATTTTCCACATCCTTTGGACTGTCTTCACCAAATTAGAATCAGAAATGTGCATGTTCATTTTATGACTGAGGTTAAATGTCTTACATTGTGCAAAATGTACTTTTCAAGCCACGTTATAATGTTGTTACCTCGTCAAAAACAGACCTGGAGTTGTGTTTTGTTTCATTCACACATGTTTGAGGGCAGTTTGAAGCCGAGTGGGAAGCGGCTGGGATGAAGATCAGCTCCTCCAAATCCGAGGTCATGGTTCTCAACCGGAAAAAAGTGTCTTGTCCTCTCCGGGTGGGTGGAGAGTCTCTGCCTTAAGTGGAGGAGTTCAAGTATCTCGGGGTCTTGTTCACGAGTGAGGGGAGGATGGAGCGTGAGATTGACAAGTGGACAGGTGCAGCGTCTGCAGTGATGCGGTCGCTGTATCGGACCGTTGTGGTGAAGAGGGAGCTGAGCCGAAAGGCAAAGCTCTCGATTTACCGTCAGTCTACATTCCTCCCCTCACCTATGGTCATGAGCTCTGGGTAATGAAAGAAAGGACGAGATCGCAGATACAAGCAGCACAAATGAGTTTCCTCCGCAGGGTGACTGGGCGCTCCCTTAGAGATAGGGTGAGGAGCTCAGTTACACAGGAAGACCCAGGACACGCTGGAGGAACTTTGTCTCTGGACTGGCCTGGTAGCGCTTTGGGGTCCCCCCGGAGGAGCTGGACGATGTGTCTGGGGTGAAGGAAGTCTGGGAGTCCCTGCTTGGACTGTTGCCCCCACGACCCAGCCCCGGATAAAGCGGAAGAAAATGGATGGATGGATGTTTGAGTAACTCTGTATGTCGTCTGTCTACATCTGCAGATCTCAAAATGCTCTGTTCCACCTTGTGATGTCATGAAGAGAGTGGCCATCTAGGTGATTCTAGTGAAGTTTAAAAACACAGTGGAGCACTTCCTGTATTACCACATGACATCACAAGGTGGAACAGGGTTTTGTCTGTTTCTCAGACAACTCAGCCTAAATATGCAGGGTTTATGTGTTAAACGTATGAATGAAACAAAACACAACTCCAGGTCTGTTTGTGACGAAGAAACAAGATATAAGATCAGAAAATAGAGCAATATGGACCCTTAATTTTATGACTGAGGTTAAATATTGCTCAAAACGTGGCTGGAATTGTATCACAATTTACTACACATGTGCAGAAATATCACTTTATATTCTCAAAGTTCAAATTTGGCAAAACAAAACCACACAAACAACCACTGCAATATTATTATCCATCCTTCATTCAGTCCCTCCTGTTTGCTGAAAATAATCCTTTTTCTCTCCTCGGATGAGAAAAACAGACAGAGTGCTTCACTGGGTCAGAAAAGTCTTTAAAAGTATATATTTATTTTTCTCCATTGTGTTTGTTTTTGGTGTAGGTGAACCCTCGTCACTGTGCATCATGGGGCCGGGCCTCTCTCCTCTGCTGTGGGCCTGTGCTCTGCTCCTGCCCCTGGTCTCCTCTGTGAGTCTGCCCCCTCAGACGCCTCAGGTCAGACTCTCCTCTGCACCTCCAGTCTCTGTGGACACTTTAAGACTGTATGGACACTTTCATGTTAGACGAAGGCAGTTGGCTTCAGCGCTTTAGTCGAGTCATGGTTGATGGTGTTGACTAAGATCGGTCAACTAATAATTTTATTATATCTATGTGTTTATCTCTCTCTCTCTTTAATCTTTATTATTTAGTCTGTGTTCTGACTGAGACACTTATTTATTTGTATTATTTAGTCTGCGTTCTGAGACACTCGTTTATTTTTATTACTTGGTCTGTGTTCTGACACACTCGTTTGTCAGTACTCACTTTTGTGTTTGTTTGCCAAGTCTTTTATTGTGTAATTTGTTTTCTTAGTTAACCTTGCGCTCTGTTACTCTTGTTTAAAAACCTTGTAAATTACATTTTGTGTTAAATTTCAGATCCTCCTTTTTTTTTTTTAAATTACCTCTACATTCCAGTTAATTAAATTACTTTACAATTTTTACATCTTGGTTTTAGTTACGTCCCTGACCCTAGTTGAGCTGCGTCGTAACAGTGCAGGTTTGCTCAGATACACAGAGATCATATAAATAAATGGTCACATTTTTCTATAGCGCTTTTCCACCTTCAAGGCAGTCAAAGCACTTTACATCAAGGAACCACTCAACCATTCATTCACCAGTGTACGCAGACACTGGGGGCGAGGTGGGTTAAATGTCTTGCCCAAGGACACAACGACAGTGTTCATCTGTGGGAGCTGGAATCACACCAGTCAACCTGTGGGTCAGTGGACCTGACTGCTCAACCAATGATGTTTATGTCAAGAGTGGGATTTGAACCGCCAACCTTCAGATCAGTGGACAAACGCTCTACCAACTGAGCTTCTGCCGCCCCAATTAGACACGACTAACCCTCTAGTCGCCACATTCCAAATAGGAAGTGTTCATGTGGGCAAATCCGGCTCCATCGACTGTGGCTCCCATTGACTTTACACTAAAAAATGTCCCTCTCTATGTTGACCCCTCTCTCTGTAACTGATTTGTCCATTAATACATGAATAAATAAATTCCTATTCCTATTAAAATGGAGCTGGACTCTAAATTCGCCCTATAACTCCAGCTTCCTTCACTGTCTGGAGCCAAACTCTGTGGGTGACGTCACACTCCCTTAATCCACTTCTTTGTACAGTCCATGATAGAGATAAGTAATAGTTCTGAGAGCTCCCTCTTTACTCAACCAGTCGATCAGCAGGACATGTCTTTAGTCGACCATTAGTGGGACCAGACTTTCCTTTTACCCGGGACAGTCCCAGTGTTGAGTCTGTGTCCCCTGTCCCAGCACATTTATACAAAACCACTGATTTGTCCCAGTTTTATACAAGAAATGTCCCAAGTGTTCTTATTTTTGACCAATCTGATCCTTGCCAACAGTAAAGAAAGTCATAAGCAGTCATTTGTTTAGGTAAAATACAGAAAAACTGCTTAAAAGTGAAAAAAACACAAAGAAAATGTGACTATACTGACTCACATTAGTGCTGAGTGCAGAACAATTTTCCATAATTACACACTTGTTTCACAGTTTTATTATTGCCAACCACCACAAACCAGGGATGTCCCAGTTTTTTATTTTGAAAATCTGGTCACCCTGCCTAGAATACCTTTAGTCAACTACAATGTCTATCATTTTAGCTGTGATTATACGAGCTGCAGCAACAAAATCATTTCCTATCCATGTGTCTATCTATTTGTCTGTCCAGGATCACAGCAGCCTGTCAGAGCGCCCCAAACTCCTCTTGGTCTCCTTCGATGGTTTCCGCTGGGACTACATCGACCGGGTCCCCACTCCAAACTTCCACGCGCTCATGAAAGAAGGAGTCCAGGTGGAGCAGGTTCAGAACATCTACATCACCAAAACCTTTCCCAACCACTACAGCCTCGTGACCGGCCTGTACGCCGAAACGCACGGCGTCGTAGCCAACGAAATGTACGACCCCGCCTTGAACCTGTCCTTCTCCATGGAAACGGACAGCGTCTACGATCCGAGATGGTGGGACGGAGCTGTTCCTCTCTGGGTGTCTGTACGGAAAGCGGGAGGGAGGAGCGGAGCGGCGATGTGGCATGTGGCCAGGCTCCGACGTGAAGATCCATGGGACTTACCCGAATCAATACCTGCCCTATAACGCTTCTGTTGACTTTGAGACAAGAGTACAGAGAATCATCGAGTGGTTCTCAGCCCCTAAGGAGGAGGCGGTGGATTTTGGAGTTTTATATTGGGAGGAACCAGATGAAAGTGGACACATGCTCGGTCCGGAAAGCCCTCTCATGGACGGGGTGATCGCGGATATTGACGCGCGCTTGGGGTTTCTGAGGGAGGAGCTGAAGAGGGCGGGGCTCTACGAGGATTTGAATCTGATCGTGACCAGTGACCACGGGATGATGCAGCTGTCCAACGAGAAGATCATCGAACTGGACGAGTACGTCAGCAGAGATCTGTACACGTGGATCGACAAAAGTCCTGTTGTAGGAATAATCCCAAATGAAGGTAGGAAACATCTTAAAGGCCCTTGTTATGCTATTTTCTGATCTAAGTTCTAATGTTGTTTCATCACAAACAGACCTGGAGTTGTGTTTTGTTTCATTCACACATGTTTAGGCTGAGTTCTTCTCTAAAACTAAAAACACTCTGTTCCAACTTGTGATGTCACGTGGTAATACAATGCTCCACTGTGTTTTTAAACTTCATTCACTGTCACTAGAATTATTTGGATAATTTCAAATCTGGGATTGCCTATTTCTTCTGAACAAAAAGCAAAAAGTAGCTGTAAACTTGAAAACTACCTAAGGCTGTGCAATTAATTAAATTTAGATTGTTTTCAATTTATGTGTCAAACGATCTCCAAACTCAAATAATCGAGTTGAAACGATTAAAGCTTAACAATGTTTATTTTGGGCTATTCTCATATAAATAAGTATATTTGTAAGTTTTTTTATTTTATGTTTTTCTGCCTTATTTCATGTTCAAAGTATATTTTATTTATTTTATGTTTTATACATTGCAAAACTGCTCTAAGGTTCAGATTTGTAGCCTATATTTATTTTCAATTTGAAAGTTTTGCATAAATTATTAATAACATAGTGTTTGTTTGTTTGTTTTTTTCAGAGAGAGAAATCCTGAATAAATGCATTGTGTAACTAAAAAAAATAATCGTTTGAATAATCAAATCAATGATTTCAATATTGACCAAAATAATTGTGATAAACAGCCCTAAAACTACCACTACATGACATCACAAGGTGGAACAGAGCATTATAAATAAACAGACTAATAATAAAGGGTTACACAAATGTGTGAATTAGAGGTCTGGCAATGAGCTGTCAGAATGTGTCACACTATTTTGCTTCGGGTCTCGCAGGATGTTTGCAGTCTCTAGTGTGAATGAAACAACTCCGGGTGTGTTTTTGAGGATGTAACACTATCAGGCCACCACCTGCTTTCCTCCATGGAGATGGTCTGGAATGTTCCACAGTACGGCATTACACCTTTCTATCATCACGGAGACCAAACTGGGCCAAGTTACATGTCAGCTCTATGGAGAGGCGACCCCGTTCACAGTCAGAATGCCACCTGTAAATGAAAAAATGTAAAAGTAGATCTGTTTAATGTCACACTGTGGAACATTCCAAGCAGAGCTATGGCATTTCCATAGAAACAAGAAGGTGACTGACCCATTAGACTGACCCACTACCCAAAAGTTACACAGTGCACTTTTAAAGAAGCTCACAAAAGTCAATTTAGCTTAATTTAGGAGCTTTAAATCGTGTAATCTGATTTGTCTTTTTCATTCTGTAGGGAAGTTTGAGGAGGTGTACACTAAACTCCTGGACGCAAACCCATACATGGCCGTGTATAAGAAGGAAGAGATCCCTGTGCGCTACCATTACCAGCACAATCTCAGGATCATGCCCATTCTCCTGGAGGCGCAGGAGGGCTGGAGCATCATGCAGAACAGAACTGCTCCCTTCATGCGTAAGAATAGAACACACACTCTCTGATTTTCACTTCAAAGCCCCCAAATTTTGCAACTTCAACATCCGGCTGGTCTAATAATAACTTCACAGTAGCTTTTTTAGGCTAAAAGTACAGAGATTGTGTCTTGGAGCTGTTATAATTAAGAAAAGAGAGGCTACTGTAGCCTACTTATCTCATGTGAAACAGCAACCGCAGCGTTGAGTGTAGGTGTTTACAGCTTTCTTATTCAGATTGTGTAGCTCTAATGATTAGTTAGACCTCGACCTAGACAGAGGTTATTGATCCACAAGGGAAATTATTTGGACACAGTAGCTCACACATCACAGTATAATATAATAACAAAGAGAAAACATAAATGGTAATAATAGATTCTAAATAAGTTGCAAAAATAGCAAGAGACTGATGTCAAATAATAGGCTGATTCATTAGCCGGTTTCACTTCGTAGAAACCGTCTGACCTTGCATTGTTGGAATTTGTTTGCTCGACTGCTATTTGGTCGTGCTGCTAATGGGTCTAACTGGTATATTAAGCTTTTCCCAAATCCTGTAGGAAAAAGGACAATAACGTCTTTCCCCTTGATAAAATTCACCAAACATTCTCTTTGTTCCGACTTTAAATCCTCAATCTCGGGAATCATTGACAACACTGAATGTCTGTCTCTTCATTGATTGAATGGAGCCTGGACTCGCACTTCCGGGGTTTTTGTGAACTGTCTAGTGTATTCTGATTCCTGACCTAGTCGCAGGAGAGAAATGAAATTGAGCAGAGGCACTAGGTGGCACCAGCCTGACTAGTCAAATAAGGCATAGTTAAATAAATGTATATGTACAAGTCAAAATAAAATAAATGTAGAAATAAAAAAATAAAAATATACAACAGAACTTAAGGAAAACAGAGATCTCCAGAGATGATATATGATTAATTAATTAATCATTGCATTTATATAGCACCTTTCAAGATCCCCAAAGTGCTTTACAGTTCATTATTCATTCGCTCAACACTCAGTGGTGATAAAATACTACTGTAGCCACACAGCTGCCCTGGGCAGACTGACAGAAGCAAGGCTGCCAATCTGCCCCATCGGTCCCTCCGACCACCACCATCACACCACTTTCATACTAGGCAATGTGGGTGAAGTGTCTTGCCTAAGGACACAACAACAGTTTTATCGACTGGCACCCCACTGTGGCACCTGGAATTCCCCATGGTCTCCCATCCAAGTACTGACCAGGCCCAGCCCTGCTGAGCTTCTGAGACCTGATGGGATCAGGCTTTTGACAAGCTGGTATGGCCACACAAATGATGATATGATGATTGACAGGACATAGGGTTATCTGTTACATAAGGAAATGCAGCCCTCAAACCACATTTTATTTTATTATTGATTGTAAGCAGTATTTTACAGCAAAGTTTTACTAGTACTTACTAATAAGTGGTAGTAAACTATTAGGTCTGTCAAAACTATGTAGAGTGCACTCATCTCCATGATGATCCTCTGTACTGACTACTGCTCCGTGGCCTTCACTTCAAATATATGTCAAGATCTGGCCCTTGGTGAAAAAAGTTCCACCCCAGTTCTTTACATTATCAGTGTGAAGAGGATTCTTTGTGAACAGTACTTTTATGTTCCCCAATTCTGTTAAAATAGGCCAAAGTTTGTTTTGTTTTATTAGTCTTCTGCCCAAACAACAAACAGCCCACTGCCAAGAGTCTTTGGTTGTTAAACTGTGGTAACCAAGTTCTCCTGAGAGTTTGTGCTGCAGTGAAAGACTGGCCAAAGTTAGAGGACAAATTCTCCTATGTTGACTATAAAAGTACTTAAACTTTATTATATTATACAGATAAAAGTTGAATGCATTCAGAGAGCTGTTTCCAGTGCTCCCTGTCCAGATAATTACACTGCAGGATGTCTCGTCTCTGATTGAAGGGCTGGGCAGTAAAATCAGCCCGTGTTGTCCGAGGAGAGAAACCTGCTGACGCTGAAGGATCAGGACCTGGCTGGTCTGTGTCGATGGCTCTTAATGCACTTCTGTGGGAGATGGTGATAAAAATAATGTTCACAGGGCAACATGGAGAGGAAGTACAAGTAAGAATAGGCCTTTCTTGAATGCAGTAAGCTTCAAGTGTTAAGACAATTTCAAAAACTGCACTATTTTACTATTACACATTTAATAGCAGTGTCCCAAAATAATATTTAATACACTGTTTTTCTAGTGTCCTTAGATGAATTAACCCTTCACAGAAAGATAGATTTTTGTGATATTTGTAATTTCACAAACTCATGAGAATCCATCTTTGAGTTCAGTCATGTTGCACGGTTAATTGGGAGGGCAACCAATCACATCGCAGCACTGAAGTCTGCCAAAAGGTGAAGTACTTCAGACATCAATACGGACTATTTTATTTGTGAAAAATGTGCGCAAGTCAACAGGAAAGATGTTTGTGCTTTTCTCTCTGTCGCAAGGACGTCAAACTCAAATTCACAGAGGCCAAAATTAAAAACTGGGACTAAGTCTTGGGCTAAACTAAATATTTATTGAAAAATTTCAACAACATCTGCATGTTTTCTCTTCTTTCCAGATATGTAATGTTAAACCTTTCTCATTAAAATAAATGTTTGATAATAGTTTTGCTTAAACATTGAGTCCAGAACAAAATAACAAAATTTTAAATAAATAATGTGTCTATAGTCTATCTGTAGGCGGCGGGCAGCTCTAATACATATTTGGTATGATCTTGCGGGCCAAATATAATTTTACTGTGGCCCAAATTTGGCCCCCGAGCCTGAGTCTGACATGTCTGATCTTTGAAGTTTGAAGTTCTGCTGTTGTGACGCTTCGTTCAATCAGATTCAAATAATCGTGATGATGCTTTGCCTTTTCTCGAACTCTTTCAGTGAGAGCCGTTCCAGTTTGATCATGTGTAGAGCTCTATTCAGAGAGACAAAAACTAGAACTAAAAAGTACAAATTTAAGTCACAGAATCATAAAGTTTAAAGTTGGAGTAAAATTATTATGTATTTTATTTAAAAATTGACAGTGATCTTCCCAATCTTCAGTGTAAATGTCACTATCAAACAACCAAGTCTCAAGTAAGTTTCAAGTCTTTGAGCTCAAGTCCAAGTCAAATCCCAAGTCAAATACAGGCAAGTCCAAGTCAAGTCTCGAGTCACTGGCCTATAAGTCCAAATCATTTCTAAGTCGTCTGCTTTGATCTTCAACTCATTTCAAGTCTTTAAACCAAAATACAAAATAGAGGATAGATTTTTGCTGTTTATATGAATTTTAAACTAAATTGTACTTAAAAAGTCATGGAATATTTATATATGAGTATTTATATAAGAGTTGTACAAATGTTAATTTTTTCTTTTTACAGTAAACGTCTTGACAAAATCTTAGTGTGAATCATTACAGTCAGAATAGAAAGAATTAAGATTTAAAAGTGCTTAATAGTTATTTTGTCACGTAGTTCTCTGTAGTTCCCTCTGGTTTACTGTATTCTACTCTATTGTACTGTATATTACTGTAGTACTTTTGAGGATACCTTCTCACAGTACTTCAGTTTCATCCAAAGTACCAAACAGAAAATGGGAGGGACATGTTCCAGTTTGTTCCTGTAAAATTCAGCAGCACATTTATCACCTGTAAAGAGAAAAGTATTTTCTAGAAACAAATTTTTTTTTTGGAGAAACATCAAGTCTTCTCAAGTCACAGGCCTCAAGTCCGAGTCAAGTCCCGAGTCATTCACCTTCAAGTCTAAGTCGAGTCCCAAGTCTTAGTCTATTTTATCAAGTCAAGTCTCGAGTCCAAGTCACGACTTGCAAGCCCCACCTCTGGTAAGACGTACTGTTTACCCAGGGCCCCGTGCAAGGAAGGGGCCCCTCAAAAAGTCTGTAATATGCATTTTTCATTACACTTTATGTAGTGTTGATGATTTGTACTTAGGACCCAGAATTTGGTGCAGGTTATTAGCAAAATCTTCTGTCTTAAAATGAGCAACAGTGAATGAGTCAGTGTCATGTTGAGAGTGTTTAGAGTAGCAGGTGGATCAGGGTATAGTTTCTGCTCCGTCTTATCTAACAAATCATTTCACGTCATTTAACTGCGGTGACAAACAGCTGTTATCGAACGACCCGGATATTAAAATGAAAGTATGGATGTTTTGTCTCTGCGAACACGACTTGCGCTGTGAGTGATTTAACAGTGACCAGTGAGCTGAGAAAATGCACTGCCGTAAATCATCAGGGAGAGAGGGCCCTGCCAACAATATAAATCTACTGTAAAACGAAGTGATTCATGAGTGATTGTGTAAACTCAAAATGTATTTCTAAATTATAAATGGGCTCTATAATAATTTCATGTAGAGCCATAACAGTATTGGCAGCACAGGGACGTTGAATAAATCAGTGTTATTGTAAATTGTTTATTATTTCATTTGGTCAGCTTTTATCTTGGTCTGAGATGCATTGTGTTGTTGTAGAGGGAACTACATAGACCAGAATCCTTTGCTCTATTGTTGCATTATTGTTAAAAGGCCCATATGACACTATTTTCAGATGTATGTTTTAATGTAGTTTCCTCATCACAAACAGACCTGGAGTTGTGTTTTGTTTCATTCATTGTTTCTTCTCTCAAACAGAAAAACGCTCTGTTCAACCTTGTGATGTCATGTGGTAATACCGGAAGTGCTCCACTATGTTTTTAAACTCTATACACCTTCACTTGGATGATTTGAGCCCTCCAATTGACCATCTCTACTGAACTAAAAGATTCTGAGCTTTGAGATGTTGTTACCTTTTCTCCAAAGCTGAAAATGCTCCATTCCACCTTGTGATGTCATGATGCTGTAGTTTTCAAGTGAACAGCTACCTTTTACTTTTTGTTCAGTAAACACTGACAATTCCAGGGCTCAAATTATCCAGATGATTCTAGTGAAGGTGTATGGCGTTTTTCAACACAATGGAGCACTTCCTGTATTACCAAATTCAATTGAAATTCAAAAAGGTTTATTGTCAATTCTTCATACAAAACATATGAATAATCAAAATTATGTTTCTCACTCCTAAGCATGTAAATAAATAATAATAATTGGAAAAGTCCAAAGTTCTTCTTTAGGGAGACACAGAGTCGTGCTTCCTGTCACCTGGTGGTTAGAGAGGAGACAGAGTTCAGCATCCTAACAGCCTGGTGGATGAAGCTGTTAGTGATTCTGGCAGTGCGGGAACGGAGGCTCGTGTACCTCCTCTCGGAGGACAGGAGACTGAACAGATTGTGTGTGTGGGATAACTTTCATAACTCATAATTGTGATGGCTTTGCTGGTGAGGTGGGTGGTGTAAATGTCTTGCAGGGAGGGGAGTGGTGCACCAGTGATCTTCCTGGCTGTGTTCCCTGTGTGCTGCAGGACTCTCCTGTGGTGGTCTGTGCAGCTTCCGCCCCACATAGTGATGCAGTTGAAAGGATGCTCTCAGTGGTTCATCTGTAGAATGTGCTCATGATGGTGGTGAGGCACTGGCCCACTTGAGTTTTCGCAGGAAGTAGAGGCTCTGCTGGTCTTTCTTCACAGTGATGCAGTGTTGGTCCAGCAGAGGTCCTCACTGATGTGCACCCACAGAAGTTTAGTGCTGCTCACTCTCTCCACAGCAGCACCCTCGATGGTCAGTGGCGGGTGTTGGGTGTGGCCTCTCTGGAAGTCGACAAATCTCCTTAGTTTTGGTGACATTCAGCAAGTGACATCACAAGGTGGAACAGAGTGTTTCTGCTCAAACTAAATATGCAGGGTTTCTGTTAAACATGTGTGAATGAAACAAAACACAACTCCAGGTCTGTTTTTGCATTATAACCTAGATCAGAAAATAGTTTAATATGAGCCCTTTAAATACAGTGTTTAAATGCGGTGAGATGTAACAAAGTGCAATAATATTCTAAACAGTATGTCATTCTTTTCCTTTTTCCTGTTGCAGTTGGTAACCACGGCTACAACAACTCCTTACGTAGCATGCACCCGGTCTTCGTTGCCCGTGGACCCGCCTTCCGCCAGGATTTCGTGCAACCTTCAATGGAGTCTGTCGACCTGTACCCTCTCATGTGCCACATCCTCTCCCTCCGCCCTCTCCCCCACAACGGCTCCCTATTTCGTGTCAAAGATCTTCTGTCCCACCCTCCCCCGACCCCGGTGCCGAGCCCTCCACCCAGGCCTTCCGAGTACTCGTACGCCCCTGTGATCGGCACCGTCCTGGTGATGGGTTTCCTGGTGTTCTACATTAAAGCGGTCACCATTAAGCAGTTGCCAGTGTTACCGAAAGGAAGCAAAGAGATGTCCCAGCCCCTTTTACGAGAGTACGTGACGAATACGTAAACCTGCACTTTCTGGAGACACAGAGAGGTTGTGTCAGTGTGAAACATATATAATAATAATAATAATAATAATAATAATAATAATAGAAGAAGAGCGTGTGTTGCTCCATAGAACTGTCCAGAAGCATTCCCTGATCAAGTCATTCACAATAACTGCCACTGTGCTGCTTTTTAATCCACATCAACCAAGGAAATATGAAAATAAAATCCTGGGTTAAAGGCCATTGGGTCAGTCCATATGAAATCAGCCATTTTCAAGGAATCTCCCCTTTAAGCCATCTCAGATTTGGCTGAAAAAATGTCTAAAAATGTCTAAAATCTCAATTAGCTCAATCCCTTGAGTCATTCCTGAGTTATGTCCCGTTGAAATTTTGGGGCCATGCTCACTTTTTTTGAAGCCTTAATTGATAAGCAGGATTGAGAAACCATAACTTCATCAAAAATAGAGCTAGGAAACTGAAAAATCGTATTATTGTAGATTCTTGGGTAGATCCACACGGGGAACCGAGGGTCTAAAGAAGGGGCCAAAAAGATCACATTTGGTCTGTGACAATATTTGGGACGCCACAGTATCTTCCACATAAAAGCTCAGAAAAGTGTGAGATTGTTGTCAGAAATGGTCATTCTCTCAAATATTCAGGTTCAGCAGTTAGTTTGTAAATATCTGCTTGGAGTAAATAGATCTTGGACCTCAAAAATTTAAAAAAAAAATTAAAAAAAAATTGAGCAGCAACCAAATGTGAGATTTTGGGGGCCTACATCATCCCCTTAATAAAGATACCCAGTATTTGACCACAGATTCAGAATCTATGACCTAGAATAATACAATAATACAAATTTTCAGCTTCCTACCTCTATTTTATATGAAGTTCTGGTCTCTCAAACCTGCTTATAAATTAAGGCTTCAGAAAAAGTGAGCATGGCCCCAAAATTTCAACAGGCCATAACTCAGAAACGACTCAAGGAATTGAGCTAAAATTTGAGATTCTTTCATTTGGTGATTTTATTTATTTATTTATTTTATTTTTATTTTTTTTTCAGCCAAATCTGAGATGGCTCATAGGGGAGGGTGGCTGATTTTATATGGACTGACCCCATTGTAGAAGAAGTACAGATACTAGAGCAGAAAAATAAAACCTCAAGTGAAAGTAAAAGCATCATAAAATGTAGTAATCTAAGTAAAAGTATTAAAGTACCAGTTTAAAAATGAACTTAAAGAGTAAAAAGTATTTTTTTAAAAGTATATTTGAGATCTAATAAAGCTTCAAATGTAGTGATTTTGATAAATATTTATGCTGTTTTTATTTTTATATACTATTATTTGGACATGTTTAAAAGACACCTTCAGCTTTTTCAGCAGGTCTCAAACTATAATAAAAATACTTTTACTTTTCAGTCCTGTTCAAAAATTTAGTGGAGTAGAAAGTACCAGATACCTGCTCTCAAATGTAATGAAGGAAAAGTATCCACTTAAAAATGTACTCAAGTAAAGTATAAATACCTAAAATGTTTACTTGAAGGTGCATTGTGTAACTTTTCTGGTGGGATGTTATTGCTTTATCTGAAATGTTCCACTGTATGGCATTAAACCATTCTAAACCAAACCACACCAAGTTACAGGTCAGATCTGTGGAGAAGTGACCCCACCCCGAGTCAGAATCCCTGTTTTTTATTGGTATTTTTGAGCTATAAAACCACCTGTAATTGAATAAATGTAAAGTAGAGCTGTTTAATGTCACACTGTGGAACATTCCAGACAGATCAATGACATATTCAACTAAAGAGTAGCACAGTGCACCATTAAATATAGTACTTTACCACTTTTACTTCGTTATGTTCCAGCTCTGGTTAAAGGAGACGTGTTAAATCAGCTGTTTTGGTGCTTATTTAAAATGACAGTGTTAGAATGTTGTTTGTTTATTGATAAAAATAGCTGAAGGTTGAGTTACACCGTTTGAAAATATCAAACTGCGCTCCGTTTAATTTGTCTGTAAACGAGATGATGTTGTGTTCACATTTGAAACGTGGCCAGCAGCTGTAGCATTAACATTTGAGAGGAGATTGAAATACAAACTGTTTATTCTATTCTAAATTAATCTGGATGTTTACCTGGAGTTTTGAGGCGTAGTAAAAACGCACTATGTAACTTTTCTAGTGGAGGGTTTGATCCGTTGTTCGTCCCTATGGACATGTCAGTGCTTTGCTTTGAAAATGTTCCACAGATCTGCTCGATTATGAACAAAATCACGATTATTTTGGTCAATATTGAAATCATGACTATTCAAATCATGATTTTTTTAGTTACACGATGCATTTATTCAGCATTTCTGTCTCTCAAAAACAAAAAAAATTAAGCAAACACTTTGTTACTGATAATTTACGCAAAACTTTCAAATTGACAGTAAGAATAGGCTACAAATATGAACCTTAGAGCAGTTAAAATACAATAATAAAATATACTTTGAACATGAAATAAGGCAGAAAAACATAAATGTGTCCAAAATAAACTCTGTATCCAGGTGTTCTGCAATCTTTATATTTATAAAATAAAATACTTATTTATAGGGATGTAACAATAACCGAAATATCGTGATATTGTATCGTCAAAGTTCTCACAGTAATATCGTGGACCATCACAATATATCGATTTACAAGTCTTTATTTTACAAGTTTAAGTTAAGTTTTAAGAGTTATGGTGTGGCAAGACAGAGGGAACTACATAGACCATGATGCTTTGCTGCATTTCAGTGCAAACTGCATGAAGAAATAACAGTTCTAAGCACTTTGAAGTCTTAGTTCTCCACAAAATATCACAATAAATATCGTACCGTGAGATGTATATCGTGAAAATATCGTACCAAGAGATTTGAATATTGTTACATCCCTAATCATGAGCGTCCCCAGATCGTGAGCTTTTCTTCGATATTGCAATAAATATCGTACCGTGAGGTTCATACCGTGACGATATCGTATCGTGAGACTTGGATACCGTTACACCCGTACTTATTTATATAAAAAATATCCAACTTGTACAGCCTTATATTTAACATAATGCTTTTGCATTTATTCATTTATTTGCATTTATTCAAGCTGGCATTAATGTCTTTCTGAAAAAACAAACAAACAAAATTCTTGATAAACACGCACTGTTACTGTGGGTGGGCTCGCTCGCCTCTCCACAGACCTGAACCGTAACTTGACCTGGTGCTGCCACTTGCTTGTGTCTACGTACATAGATATTTTTAATGCCATACTGTGAAACATGCAAGGAAAAGTAACACGCAGCTTCTCCAAGCGTTCACTGTGAAGACTTCTTTCTACTGAGCATAAACGATTTTTACACATATTGAGATTTTTCTGAGAAACATGTAGCAGTTACCATGGTGACACAACGCACACATTACCAAACACTGTCAAAAAAAACTTTAAGATTGTCTGAAAACTCAAGAAAAAATACAGAATTGATTAAAACAACACATTTTCAGGAGCCCGTGATCCATATGTGCGCTCATGGTCGTGTTTAGGAGTTTTAATTTGTCTGATTTTCAACTATAAGAAAAAAAAAAATGTGTAAGAGACTTGTTTTAACAGCACAAAGCAGCTCACCTGTTGTAGCTCCAGATACGTCAGTTCTTTATGGTCAGATTATGTTAAAACAAGAGTATACGTGTCGTGGTTGAGCGTGTGAGTGAAATGTCAGGGTTTGCTTCTGGTGCAGTTTTAACCTTTACATTGAATTCCTAGTGGCTTTTCTTTGACTGTGGTTTTCACTAAATACGACTCATCTTATCTCTTCACGATATAAAGATAGAAACGAGAACACCTGCTTTTCTGCTGCACGTGAATATTTGATGAACGAGGCTGGACTCCCTAAAGAAAGAAATGTAAAAATAGATTTGAGCCAATCATTTTCAAGTCTATGCAAAAGGAGGTACAGTATATACAGTATCAAAGAACACATATTATGCACAAAATTAAACTTTTTGCTTCATTTACTTTTTTCATTTGAGAAGCACTGTGTAACTTTCCAGATGGAGATGTTGTTTTGCCTGGAATTTTTCACAGTATGGATATTAAACTTCTCTGTTTCCATGGAGACAAGCGCTAAGCCAGTTTACAAGTCCGATCTGTGGAGAGGTGGGCCCACTTAGAGTAGAATGTATATTTTTCAAATGTAAAAAAACACCTAAAATTAACTAATAAGCAACTTTAATGCCATACTGTGGTACATTCCAGGGAAAACAATTTCCATAGACTGGACTCTTACCAGAAAAGTTACACAGTGCACCTTTAATCCATTAATCCAAAATCATTCTTTCTAGCTCTCAAAAAAATGATGTGTTTGTATTTTTCCAGTTTTGTTGCATCATGGGTAAAACTCTGCATAAAATATGCAGTTTTTAAAACCATAATCCATCTCCACACTCATTCTATGGTGAAATTTTGTTCACACCAAACATGTCGCTCTATTAAGGCTCGATTCTGTTGGTTTTTTGCCAGTTTTGTTGCATCATAGGTAAAAATCTGGTCATTACATTTTTAAGCCCAAAAAGCCATCTCCACACTCATTCTATGGTCAAATAATTTTGTTCACAGCAAACACGTGGCTCTATTAATGCTCTGTTCTGTTTGCATTTTGCCAGTTTTGTTGCATCATAGGTAAAAATCTTGTCTAATATGCAGTTTTTAAGCCCATCATTCATCTCCACACTCATTCTATGTTCAAATTTTGTTCACAGCAAACATGTGGGTCTATTATTGCTGTGTTCTGTTCACATTTTGCCAGTTTTCTTGCATCGTAGGTAAACATCTATTCTTCTCTTATGCAGTTTTTAAGCCCATAATTCACCTCCAGACTCATTTTATGGTCAAACTTTGTTCACAGCAAACACGTGGGTCTATTAATGCTGTGTTCCATTTGCATTTTGCCAATTTTGTTGCATCATAGGTAAAAATCTCGTCTTCTAATATACAGTTTTTTAACTCATAAGACATCTTCACACTTATTCAGTGACATTTTTTTTTTTTCATTTTCACAATGAACACATGGCTCTATTAATACTCTTTTTATGTTTAAATTTCTGTTGTTTTTTACCAGGTTTGTTGCACCATAGGTAAAAATCTGTTCTGATTTTAACACCATAAACCATCTCCAGACATTTACTATTAACAGGGAGATTTGAACTTCATTTGTTTATTTCATAGTTGTTCATTCCTATTGCTGACACCAGAGGGAGCTCTAACGCCTAAATACTAACTTTGAAAATGTGAAATCCCAAAGTGACCAAAAAGCATGTTTTAAATGGAACTAAAGCCAAAAGTAAGCATAATATGTGTTCTTTAAAAAGGGCAAGTCCAGTTTTCTCCATCAACTATTTTCTTATCAGCAAAAACGGGAAAAACACTGTTAAAGATGCATTGTGTAACTTTTTTGGTGAAGGGTCCACCACGGAGATGTTATTGTTTTGTTGGAAATGTAACATGGATTTTTATTGACCTAAAAACTTTCCAGGCAGTATCCCCACGGAAAAGGTGATGGACCCTCCACCAGAAAAGTTACACAATGCGCTTTTAACTTATATCGCATTAACTACTTTTGAATGTTACTTGAAACTTATTTAAAAACGCTCACTACATGTGCCAGAGTACTGCTTGTAGATGTGTAGATCCTTTTTTTTAGTACTTTTTTTTACCATTTGCCTTTTAAACTTCTGTGTTTTTGTGTGTAATCGTCCGTGTGTCTAACGTATCTTCTGTTTTAGAGTAGCAAAACAGATAAATGTCCATATGTTGACGGTCATAACTAGCGCCATCCGTTGGTGAATCGTGAAAAGTGCAATTGCTGTTGGTCGGTATTACGTCTTAGGGACTTCAGAGGTTTCGTTGTTGCTTGGAGAAGACTTTTTCAGCATGGCTAGAAGTGGACTGTTCCCCTGATTTGCACTAATATTATAGATTTAGAATGATAAAGAAAGAAAAGGGGAGTTGTAGATGGATGCTTTTAGGTCATGTCTTATTTGCACTTGTTTGTAGTTGCTTATATTATAAAAGGTTCTGTGCCTCTTGCCAAAAAGATATACACAATCACAGAGACTCAAGTAGATTCTTAATCGGTAAAAAAAATTGAACGAATATTCCTTGTTTTTCTATTTTAATTTCGATTTTTTAAAAGCCTAATATAATACTTGCACCCAAAAAAAGGACACGCTCACTGTGATCTACTTTTTACAAACTTTAAATTCATAAAAAAGTATTTATATTCCAATTGTTGATTTTATGGTGTTGTTTTATGAAATCAGAAATCTATGAAGAAGATACAGTATTTTCAAAGAATTCCTATGAGATATTAGAATAGGTTTTCTCATTTGGTTACTTTGGATTTTAAAGACTGATATTTAAAAATGTAATGAGATTTAATACGATCTTTGCCTTGTAATGTAATCAGAGAGTCTTCTAAAAATAAAAGGGAAATATGTGAAACTGAGAAGAGACTGTGTGTTTTTTGTTCATTTGTGGGTTTAAAGGTCCGATTATTTTGCAATATCCACCTTCACCTCAAAAGCCATACACTCCACTTGACATGTGAAATACACACAGGGGTCATATAGCTGGTTTGTTTATTCAAAAAAATTAAATAAAAATCACTTTCAGTACAAATATAAAGGCGTCAGTCCAGTAAAAATCTGTAATATTTGATGTTTTGTTTTTTACTCAATGTGATGCAGAATCATGTTATTAACATTAAAGCTGATTCATAATCACCTACAGAACATTAATCACAGACTACAACACATGAACCAGGACTAAACCAGGACTAAAACAGGACTAATACAGGACTAAACCAGGACTAAACCAGGACTAATACAGGACTAAACAGGACTAAAACAGCACTTAAACAGGACTAAACCAGGAATAAACCAGGACTAAACCAGGACTAATACAGGACTAAACCAGGACTAAACCAGGACTAAAATAGGTCTAAACCAGGACTAATCCAGGTCTAAACCAGGACTAATCCAGGTCTAAACCAGGACTAAACCAGGTCTAAACCAAGACTAAACCAGGTCTAAACCAGGACTAAACCAGGCTGAACGGGGACAAAACCAGGACTAAACCAGGATTAAACCAAGACTAAACCAAGTCTAAACCAGGTCTAAACCAAGACTAAACCAGGACTAAACCAGGTCTAAACCAGGTCTAAATCAGGACTAATCCAGGTCTAAACCAGGACTAATCCAGGTCTAACCAGGACTAATCCAGGTCTAAACCAGAACTAATCCAGGTCTAAACCAGGACTAATCCAGGTCTAAACAGGACTAAAACCAGGTCTAAACCAAGACTAAACCAGGTCTAAACCAGACTAAACCAGGACTAAACCAGGAAACAAAACCAGGACTAAACCAGGTCCACTAAACCAGTCTAAACCAGGTCTAAACCAGGACTAAACCAGGTCTAAACCAGGACTAAACCAGGACTAAACCAGACTAAAACTAAACAGTAAACCAGGACTAAAACCAGGATAAACCAGGACTAAACCAAAACCAGGACTAAACCAGGATTAAACCAAGACTAAAAGTCTAAACCAGGTCTAAACCAAGACTAAACCAGGACTAAACCAGGTCTAAACCAGGTCTAAACTAAACCAGGACTAATCTAAAACAGGTCTAAACCAGGTCTAAACCAGGACTAATCCAGGTCTAAACCAGGACTAACCAGGCTAAACCAGACTAAACCAGGTCTAAACCAGACTAAACCAGACTAAACCAGGAACGGGACAAAACCAGGACTAAACCAAGATTAAACCAGACTAAACCAAGTCTAAACCAGGTCTAAAACCAGGTCTAAACCAGACTAATCTAGTCTAAACCAGGACTAATCCAGGTCTAAACCAGGACTAATCCAGGTCTAAACCAGGACTAAAACAGGACTAAACCAGGATTGAACCAAGTCTAAACCAAAACTGAACCAGGACTAAATCAGGTCCAAACGAGGTCTAAAACAGGACTAAACCAGGACTAAAATAGGTCTAAACCAGGATTAAACCATATATAGGACAATAGTGCAGATATCATGAGTCTATGCAGGGTCCAGTTTGACATTGAAGTTGTAGCTATGTTATACCAGGCCCACTACACCCCTCACTGGCAACTCCAAATGATTCTAGTAAAGATTTATGGATCTTAAAAACAAAACACTGTCGAGCACTTCCTGTGTTACCACGTGACATCACAAGGTGGAAGAGAGTGTTTTCTGTTTGAGAGAAGAACTCATCCTAAATCTGTAGGGTTTGTGTGTGAAACGTGTGAATGAAACAAAACACAACTCCAGGTGTGTTTGTGACATTACAACATAGATCAGAAAATAGTGTTAAAGTGAGTTGTCCATCTGTGGGTTTCAGAATAATGAAAAATTTGAACTGTTACCATAGCGATTAACAATTTAAGACAAAATAGTTTCTCTCTTGAATGGGAAAAAGTCCTCAAAAGCTTGAATATAACAGGAGCAGGTCTGGTACACTGGGTATAGTGAACGAGTGCAAATGTAAATGGTCGTGTTGTTTTTCTGAGCACGTATCTGTGTAAAAATGAAGTGAAGATACGACCGCTGACTGTCATAAACAGATAACCATGTCACAGCAGTATGGCTTACAAATAGACCTGTTTCCCATTAAAATGCATGTTTTAGGCTTTCGCAAAACATAACTCAAAGATTATTTCAGTAAACAGTTCACTACAGATAAAGCAGAATTAACAATAGAGTGTATGTCTTGTTATATCTACTGTTTTAATGTTTCATGAGGCTTCTTGCAAATGCTTTCCAATATGGTTTTAACTACAAACTGTAAATAAACTAACCACCTAAAGAGAATTTTTCCCATTCAAAATAATATTTTGTTTTAAATGCACTGGAAAAAAAACAATATGTAGGTACATTAAAATGGCTTAAATTAAGAACATTTTACTTCATGTGAGTTGATTCAACTTGACAAATAAGTAAGTGATGAAGTTTATTTTTATATAGAGCGTTTCACAGATGTATGTCACAAAGACACTTTACAGTTCATTATTCATTCACTCCACACTCAGTGGTGGTGAACTACTATTGTGGTCACAGCTGCCAATCTGCACCACTGGCCCCTCTGACCGCCACTAGCACACACACAACACTTTCATTCTCTGCAATGCGGGTGAAGTGTCTTGCCTAAGGACACAACTACAGATTTTGTGACTGCACGCCCCCTTTGGCACCTGATTTTCCCAGCGTCTCCCATCCAAGTACTAGGCCTGGCCCTGCAGACCTTCTGAGATCTGACGGGATCAGACTTTGACAAGGAGGTATGGTCACACTAAAGTCAAATGATGAAGTGTGTGTTTTTTTTATTTCAAACAACATTTGATTTTGTTTCTTATGATAAGTGCAAAAAGTTGTTGTCTTTCCTTATTTCAAGTGTAACAAGATGTATTTTCATATTTTAAGTAGAAAAAGTCTTCTTCCATTGGCAGATCATTTTACTTGTCAAGTGAATTCTACTCAAATCATTAAAAAACTTTTCTTTGTTCAAGTCATCTGAACTTGGCTCAATTTTGGTTTTTGCAGTGTGGTTAAATGGCCTTTGTTACATTATTTTCAGATCTGTGTTCTAATGTTTCCTCGTCACAAACAGACCTGGAGTTGTGTTTCATTCACATGTTTCACACACAAACCCTGCAGATTTAGGCTGAGTTCTTTTCTCAAACTGAAAACACTGTTGAACCAAAAGTAAAAAGAGGTGTTGTTAACTAGAAAACTACCACTTCATGACATCACAAAGAGGAACAGAGCATTTTGAGCTTTGGAGATGTAGACAGACTAATAATAAAGAGTTACTCAAACATGTGACACAACTCGACACGACAATTTCACGTAATCTAGGACGTTTAAATACAAAAAAAGCGTTGTGGATTGAAGTGGTTCTCTTTCATTCCTGATAAACCCTGTCTCTTATCTGGCTCTTTTCTCTCCCACCCTCCTCCGTGTCCTTGAAGGCAGCCGTTTCCTTCTATCACTTGTTAACTTAAGGATCAAAGTTCTTTTATGAGTAAACGCTGGAATTTGCCCTAGCTCTAGGTCACTCCGCAGCCAGTCCCACTCTCTGTCAGCGACCGGAGCGGAGCGCTTCACAACTGAACCAAAGACCTCTCCAAAAAACCCCCCCCAAAAAAAATGAACAACGAGTACGACCTGGTGACGGAGGAGAAGAGAGCGGACAGCCCGGATAAAGAGGAACCCAAGTACGACAACCCGATAGAGATGATCGAGCAAGTGTACAGCGAGATCCAGGTGCACGCGTCCGAGGATGGGGACCAGAACGGACGGGCGCGGGACAGGGCTTCCTCTTCTTCATCTTCTTCGTCTGATGAGGGGGAGAAGAAGGAGAAGGAGGAGGAGGAGGAGGAGAAGTCGGTGACGGTGGTGCTGGAAATTACGCCCGAGACTCCTGTGCAAACTTTAGAGGAGGTGAACGGTAAGGATGTGAAAATGTACAAAAAAATGTGAAGAGAAAAATAAAAGCAGACAGTGTAGTAGTTAGATGATGGTCACTATGTTAGAAATAAGATGAATATGTTTAATTTACAAGATCAATGAAGAGATCTGATCATATTAAGGTATTTTCTGATTTATGTTCCACTGAAAAAAACGAAATCTAGCCAAGTTAAGATGACTTGAATTAAGAAAGTTTTATCATGGTTTGAGGAAATTGAGTAAAGTAAAATGAAAATACATCTTTCTACACTTAAAATAAGAAAAACAACAACTTTTTGCACTTAAAATAAGAAACAAAATTGAATGTTGCTTGAATTTAAAAAAAACAAAAACGCATTTATTCCATTGGTAGATTTGACTTGTCAAGTTGAATCAACTCAAATAAAGTCAAATCTTCTTAATTTAAGTCATGTTTACTTACCTAGATATTGTTTTGTTTTTTTTCCAGTGTGTAATTTTGTTCCTTTGTTCCTCAAAAACAGACCTGGAGTTGTGTTTTGTCTGAGTAACTCTTTATTATTCGTCTGTCTGCATCTCCAAAGCTCAAAATGCTCTGTTCCACCTTGTGATGTCAAGAAGCTGTAGTTTTCATGTTACCTTTTACATTTAGTTCAGTACAGATTGGCAATTCCAGAGCTGAAATGATCCAAATGATTCTAGTGAAAGTGTTTGGAGTTTAAAAACAGAGTGGAGCACTTCCTGTATTACATGACATCACAAGGTGGAAAAGAGTGTTTCTGTTTGAGAGAAGAGCTCAGTCTTAATATATGCAGGGTTTGTGAGTTAAACATGTGAATGAGACAAACTGCAGACACCGTGGGGCGCCAGTCGCAAAAAACTGTCGGTTTGTCCTTAGGCGAGACACTTCACCCACGTCGCCAAGTAGGAAAGTGGTGTGTGTGCGTGAGAGATGGCCAATGGTGCAGATTGGCAGCCTTGATTACGCCAGTCTGTCCCAGGGCAGTTGTGGCTACAATAGAAGTTTACCACCATCCAGTGTGGTGTGAATGAAGAATGTACTGTAAAGCATCTTTGAGTGTCCAGATCAGAAAATAGTGCAATACTAGCACTTTAATGTTTGGAACATAAGTAATACACGCATCAAGAATCTCGGACTTCCGGTCATTGCTCAATTCATACTGGGAAGGATTTTCAGAAAAAGTGAGCATCAAATCGCCATGTTTGTTGTCCCAGTAGGATGTATCTATTGTCAAAGTCGATCTTTTCAAGTCTTTTGAACCATATCACTTTTGTTTCTGGTTCTGATATTGTCATATTTTAGTTTATTTATCGTAATTGTGTGGTTGTTGGATCCTAACAGCGGAAAATGGCCAACTCCATAAATGCAAAAGGGAGTCAGATGTGTGTGACTGCAAACTGTTTCCCTGTTTGAACATTTTGTATGTGGAGCGCCATCAAAGCAAAATCCTGATCCCTCGCTCAACCTCGCTTATGAATTTAAAAAGTCAAAGCGAAAAGCGTTAAAAAGCGTTAAAAAGCAAAAGGCACCAGCTGTTCAAGAAACACCTTCCACTGCAAAGTGACCAAGACGTGATGTTTCTGTAAAACCACAAGAACAAGAAAGTGCAGCTCAGCCTGTTTGTTTTCTGTACCTCTCGATTAACAAACGGGATCCCGCTTTGATGGCTCCACATACAAAATGTTCGCTGCAAACTCGGGATGATTTAGGCAGTCAAAGGTTTCCTTTTTCGTCCTTCTAGTGTTTCAATCCTGCCCATCGCCTTCACCTTTCATTATTTTTCAATTCTGTTGGGAAGAGAAACAGTTTGAACAGAGGTTTGCAGTCACACACATCTGATTCCCTTTTTTCTCAAGCCGTTTTCCACTGATAGGATCCAACAACCACACAATTACGATGTCAAAACTAAAATATGACAATATCAGAACCAGAAACAAAAGTGATATGGTTCAAAAGAATAAAAAAGATCAACTTTGACAATAGACACATCCCACTGGAAAATCAAACATGATGGTTTGATGCTCACTTTTTTGGAAAATCCTTCCCAGTATGAATTGCACAATGACCGGAAGTCTGAGATTCTTGAGGCATGTATAGAACTTAAAGCTCTATAACATCCAGGTGGAGACAGGGAGTCAGCATGTGTTAGAAAAGTTGCACAGTGGACCTTTAGTGTGAACTCTCAGAAGAAGCAGATAGTTGTTGTTTATCATCACTGAACACACCTGGAGTTGTTAATGTTTTTTTTTCCACACATGTTTAACACATAAATCCTACATATTCACACCGAGTTCTTCTCTCAAACAGAAAACCCTCCATACACCTTCACTTGAATCATTGATATGCTGCCAGTGTCTCTAAACTCAAGGTAAAAGGACCTGTTATCTTGAAAACTGTCAACCTCATGACATCACAAGGTGGGACAGAGCATTTTGAGCTTTGGAAATGCAGACAGAAATAATAAAGGATTACTCAAACTCAATGTATGAATGAAACAAAACACAAACACAACTCCAGGTCTGTTTTTGAGGAGGAAACAACATTATAACATGTCTTAAAAAGTGAAAAGCGAATAGCAATAGAAAGAAAAATCTATAAAATTGATCCAGGCTGTAGAAAACTTCATATTTCAGGACTTGACTGAACTCTATTCCTGATTTTGTAGCCAACTGTGAAGAACACAAAGAGGAACCTGAGGAGCACCATGAGGAACACCACGAAGAGCAAAACCAGTCCAGCTCTAGAAGATCTTCCACATCTTCTTCGTCCTCGGCCTCCGCGGCGGACCCTACCCCCTGCGTCGAGCCCCCCCACGAGGAGACCAAAGCCGCGGAGGAGCCGGTGACGCTGCAGGCAGAAGAACTTAAAGCTGAAGACCCAGTAGACCACGGCGTCCAGACTCTGGAGAACATCACGCTGGACGAGGACAGCGCGGCGCCGGACGACCCCACGCAGCCTGATATCTCACTGTTTGTCAAGGTAAGAGAAAGACAGCACGTGTAGACCTTGGGGTGCTCTACATGTATGTCTATCGGCGAAGTGTTCAGCGGTTACCATGGTGACACAACACACACGCACTACTCTGTTAGAAGACGTTACTTAAATTAGACTTTAATCTGAGTTTTATTTTAACACAATCTGGCTTGTGCGCTTAAACAAGTTTATCTCAGACAGTCACTATGGCAACTGCTAAACATTCCTCCAACAGAAATACATGTAGAACACCCCCCAGTGTGATGTCAGTGCTGAGTATCAGTTGGTTGAATGTTCGGCACTTCCATGGTGACACAAAGCACACAGGGATGTAACGATTTCCAAACCTCTAGGACGCTTTTTTGCTTTGAAAATACCTTGACAAGAATTTGGAGTAATTATTTCCGACATAATCCCAAGAATTCAAGAAAAAAACATATGTCTTCATGTTGTCTGCGCTGAAATGAATCATGGGATATGTAGTTCCCCATGTTTATCAGCTCTTGCTACTGTAAGACAAGACATTAAAACAGAGGAGCTTATAATTCGTTATATTGTGATGGTCCACGATATTATTGTGAGACTTTTGACGATACGATATCACCATATTTCAGTTATTATTACATCCCTAAACACACACATAAGAAAAAATTGCCAAAAATGTTTTATTATTCATATTCTGCAGCTGATGTCCAATCCAACTGTTTTGTACGGCACATTTTACCAACACAAAGTCTCAAAGCCACAATATAAATGAGCACATTAAATAAAATAAAGCATAAAATAAATAACTAAGCAAGTCAATAAAATTATTAAAAAAATACTAAAATTTGCAAATAGAAAAATAGCAAATAAAATCAATAAAAGACAGTCAGAGGAGAACACAATTTTCACACCGTGTTAAAAGCCGGTGAGTAAAAGTGTGTTTTTAAACTAGACTTAAAAGAATCAACTGAAGCGGGTGGTCTTAATGTGAGGGGGGAGAACGTTCCAAAAGCCAGCCACAGAAAAGGCCAGGTCACCCCAGGGTCACCCCAGGGTCACCCAGGGTCACCCCAGGGTCACCCCAGGGTCACTCCAGGCTTTAATCTCTCATTTTTGGAATGACAGGTTGGAGCAGCCCCTCACAACTCAGAGCGTGTGAAGAAGTGTAGAAACAATGAGGTCTGAGATGTTCGTCGGGGTCAGTCCATCAAGTGCTTTAAAAACAAACAATAACATTTTAAAATCAACTCTAAAATGAACAGTGAGCCAGTGTAATGATGATAAATCGGTGTGATGTGTTCTCTGTGTGTTCTGATGTCATCAACATTCCCGGGGGTGTGAAACTAACTAAAGCACTGCTCTGTTAGACGCTGTTATTCAAGTTAGACTTGAATCTGATCTTTATTTTAACTCAATCCGACCAGAAAGAGCTGACTTTGTTGGAACTAACAGGTGAAAATATTAAAATGACAGTCGTAAGATATTAACCAGCTGTTTAAAAGTTGGTCACTCACATCTTTTTGGTTGAAAATCAAACACCTAAATAGGACCATGAACACTTGAACTTGAAAACTACTGCAAGGTGGACTATAAACCCTTCCAGACCGACGGTATAGTATACAATACCTGGGAATATGTTATATAACTTTCCAACCATAAAACATGGAAACATACTTTTTTTTTCTTCAAAAGGTGAGGAACGCTAGCCTGATTCATCAGCCAATTTTACTTCATTTTACTTCGTTTCACTTCATACAAACCGTCTGACGTCACAGTGTTTGAATTTGTTCGCTCGACGGTTGGTGGGTACTTTTTATCATTTAACCAATCGCTGCTATTTGGTCGTGACATATGTAATGCGCCGCTAACAGGGTTAACTGGTATATTAAGCTTTTACCAAATCTCGTAGGAAGAAGGACAATAACGTCTTTCCCCTTAATGAAATTCACCAAACATTCTCTTTGTTCTGACTTTAAATCCTCGATCTCAGGAATCATTGCTAACACAGAATATATAGCTCTTTGCTGATTGGCTGGTGCCTGAACTTGCACTTCTGGTGTTTTTCTGAACCGTCTAGTATATTCTGATTCCTGACCTAGTCACTGGAGAGAAATGAAATTGAACGGAGACTCTAGGTGGCGCCAGCCTGGCTAGAGAAAAGCAGCTTTTCGAGCACATTTATCCATCCAGGCCTTATTCGAGTGTCCAATAGGAACTTTGTTTTCTGCCAAACACATGTGCTCCGTCCATTTTGAATGGTCCAGACTTTGTCAAAGAGTGTAGTGAGTCAAAATGGTCGATGCTCTGAGCTTCTGTGTTCGTAACAATTGAAAAAGTCGCTCTAAGTGCAGTTATTTCTCAAATAAACAAGGTTTATTTCAGTCCAAATGTCCAAATGTAATAAAGCCCATGGAAATGAAGGAAGTGATGTGGTTCTGTGTCCTGGACCTGACACCAGCTGTTTCCACGACTGACACCAGGAAAGTCATGGGGACATTGCACTTTTTTTTTTTTTCTTTTGAGGCAATAAGGACATTTTGAGTTTACTTTAATACTTGATATTTTTCACTTTTGTAGCTAAGACCCAAAATTAAGCATTTTTTTAAATGTCCAAATAGTTGTTTATACCTGTTTGTTGTGTGTTTTGTTTGAAAGAGTGTGAAATTTATTTTGCGTTTTTTATTCATTTATTTGTATTTCGGGTCCTGTATCTTTTATTCCAGCATATGACACAACTACAGCAGCAGATTATTAAATAACAGATTGTACTAAAAAAAAAATAAAAAAAAAATCAAAATATATTTCCTCTTAATCGTGATTTTCCCCAGAGTAATAATTTATTTAATGAGAAATACACTTTTAATCATTACCATTTAAATGCAAAAAAAAAAAAAAAAAAAAAAGAGTCAAATCTCTTCCTCCAAAGTGTGAACTCTGCTCCAAACCACGTGCTCTAACAGACATTAAAAACACATTAAGCTTATCAGGGACAATTCAAAACACTACGATCTCCATTTGATAACCATTATATTCATTACAAAGCCCTAAAGTGATAAGATAAGGTTCTATTTTAGAACGCTGGTGCATCATTTGAACAGCGTCTCTTCCTGTTAAGAAGTGAACAGAGAGATGTGACTTGTGAGCTTTTGCCTGGAGTGTTGCAGTCATCTTTTTACACCTGTCGTAGGCCAGGAGGCTCCCTCAAGTCAAACGCTCTGAAGTGAAAGATTCTGCACGTAGGGAACAGAAAATGGAACTTTTTCTGCTCGTTCCCCTGTTGATATATTTGAGTGTGATACAGTGAACAAAGAAGAGTTTAAAGGACTTAGATTAGACTATTTTCTGATCTATTATAATGTTTCCTCATCACAAACACACCTGGAGTTGTGTTTGGTTTCACATGTTTAACACACAAATCCTGCAGATTTAGGCATTTAGAGTTCTTCTCTTAAACAGAAAACACTCTGTTCCACCTTGTGATGTCATGTGGTAATACAGAATTTGCTCCACTGTGTTTTTAAACTCTGTACACTTTCATTTTGATCATTTCAGTCCTGGAATCTCTACTAAACAAAAGGTTAAAGGAGCTGTTAACTTGAGAACTAAAGCTTCATGACATCACAAGGTGGAACTGAACGTTCTGAGCTTTGGTTTTAGACAGACAAACCAGGAAACAAAACACAACTCGAGGTCAGTTTTTGAGGAGGAAACATTATAACATGACTAAAAGTTCACAAGAATTTGTTGTGTGTATAAAACCTTAAGAACACACTGACTGGTCTCTAGTTTTTAGGTTGTAAGTGAAGGATTCTGTGGGTAAATACATTTTGATTGTCAAGGTTTAATTGAAAATGTTATGGAAATTAAGTTAACCTTTATTGTCTGTATTTAAGGAAGTTTGTCCTCTGCATTTGACCCATTCTTCAGTGCTTCTGGGGAAACCTGTGAGACAGAGGTGGGGACTTGAAAGTTGTGACTTGAACTCAAGTCAGATTTGAGGCACTATTTTTAGAACTTGAGACTTGACTTGGAATTTAGTCCCTGAACTAAGACCTGGGACTTGGACTTGAAGGTCAGTGACTCAGGACTTGACTTTGGACTTGAGGTCTGTCACTTGAGAAGACTTGAAGCTTCTCCTAAAAATATATGTTTTTAGAAAATACTTTTCTATTTACAGCTGATAAAGGTGGTGATTAATTTTACAGGAACAAACTGGAACATGTTCCTCCAACTCTACAACAAATGTACTACAGTAATATACAGTACAGTACTGTAAAACAGAGAGAAGTACATGACAAAATAACTGTTATTTATCACTCTTAAAACTGAATTCTTTCAATTCTGACCATAATGATTCACACTAAGATCTTGTCAAGACATTTAAAAAGGAAAAAAAAAAAGCATTTCTACATCTCTTATATAAATACTCATACATAAATATAGCATGACTTTTTAAGTACAATTAAATTTAAAATTCATATAAATTACAAAAAACAAAGCTCTATTTGGTACTTTGTTTTAAAGACTTGAAATGACTTGAAGCTCAAAGCAGACGACTTGGACTTGACTTGGACTTATAGGCCAGTGACTCGAGACTCCACTTAGACTTGCCTGTATTTGACTTGGGACTTGACTCAGACTTGAGCTCAAAGACTTGAGACTTACTTGAGACTTGCAAAACAACAACTTGGTCAGGAGGACATAGCTGGAGCATTTTGTCTTTTGTTCATGTTTGAGGCTGGGGCTGGTGTGAAAAAGTGGATTCAATGTTTGAATGAAAATAGTTTTAATACATAGCAGCTTGTATGTGTTATGAACGCGTCACCTCTCCACAGATCTTACCTTTTGTTTGGCTTGGTGGTCTCACCTGCTTATCTCCATGGAGGTAGATACGTGTTAGTCATAGTGTGGAACATTCCTGACAAAGACATAACATCTCCATGGAAACAGACACAAACACAGCGCAACTCTAAAAAACATCACAATTGCAATATTTGAAAAGGGGCACTGTGCTTGTCTCC